CAGCAGCAGCAAGGTTTCGCCAGCCTGCCAAGCTTTCTCCCTCCCACCTCAGCAGCGGCGGTGGCAAGGCCTTGCCGGCCCGCCAAACTTTCTCCCCCTCTCCCCTCAGCAGTGGCGGCAGTGACGAGGCCTTGCCGGCCCGCTAAATTTTCTCCCTCCCCCTCCCCCGGTGGCAGCGAGGCCTCACCGGCCTGCCAAACTTTCTCCCTCCCCCCTCCCCTCCCAGCAGCAGTGGTGGTGAGGCCTTCCTGGCCCCCCTCCCCCGGCGGTGGCGGCAAGGCCTCAACGGCCTACCAAACCTCCTCCCTCCCTCCCTGGCGGTGGAGGCAAGGCCTTGCCAGCCCACCAAACTTTCTCCCCCCCGGGCGGTGGCTAGGGTTGAGCGGCTTACAGCCGCTGGCTGGCCAAACCTTCACCCTCACCCCTCCCCCTCTCTGGTGGTGGCAGCGGTAGCGAAGCTGCTCTAAGAGCATTCTCTGCGCATGCGCAGGGGATGCTCTTTTACTTTTGGGGGGATTTAATTATCCCTCCTATATTTTTTTACAGTTTTCAGATTTTTCTGCACACCTGGGCATTGCCCCACATGCGCAGGAAAATCTCCCTGCCCCCCAGGTGCCCCCGATGTGCGGATTTAGATATCCACACGCAGGGGGTGCCTTGGGAATTAGATATATAGATGATACCTTTGTAAGCTAAGTACATATGATACCTTTGTAAGCATACCTCGTAAGCAAGGTATGATGCCTTGTAATAAAATAAATAATAAAAGTTTTAAAAAATGTTTGGGATATCGACTCACAGATCCTGAGGAGAGAGGCCTGTTGACTAAAAACACACAGCCAAATTACTTTGACGGGCACAAGGACCTAAAACCACTCCCTTCAAAAAAACCAATAAGCAAAAATGTAATAATAATAATAAAAAGTCCAGGATTAGAAAATCTAGAGCACGCTCCAGTGCTACAATCACAGTTGCACACGTTCTTCTAGCCACGATGCTCAAAATCTTACAAGACACGCAAAATCCTGACAGCGATTTAGGGGTTTCTCAGGTTCCCCAATCCTTGTTTTCTACCGAGCAGAACTCACCTTGGGGCAGCTTCCCACTGGATGGTCCCGACTCCCGAGGCAGGACCAAAGGCCGAGCTTGGAATTGCTTCAACAGGCACGAACCCTAGCAAAGAACAAAGAGGAAAGAGACTGAGAAAGCCTTTTGTCCGGTGGAAAAAACATGGCACAAGGAGAAGACAGTTTCCAGAAGGACTGAAGATTCTAGAAGGATCAGGGTAGCACCTCTTATTAATTTTGTTAAAATATTTATCTCTCACCTTTCTTGTGGCTCAGGAGCAAATTCGCCAAGAATGGGGAGAAATTAAACTCTCACTCTTTTTTTCCCTATCAGGTCACAGCTGTCCTGTGGCGATCCCATGGGGTTTTCAAGGCAAGAGATGAGCTGGGGGAGTTTGCCATTTCCTGCCTCTGCATAGCAACCCTGGACTTCCCTGGCGGTCTCCCATCCAAGTACTAACCAGGACCGACCCTGCTTCGCTTCTGAGATCTCACAAGATCTGGCTAGCCTGGGCCATCCAGGTCAAGGAAACAGATAGGCAGAGGTAGTTTGCCATTGCCTGCCTCTGCATAGCAACCCTGGTCTTCCCTGGTGGTCTCCCATCCAAGTACTAACCAGGACCGACCCTGCTTAGCTTCTGAGATCTCACAAGATCTGGCTAGCCTGGGCCATCCAGGTCAAGGAAAGAGATGGGCAGAGGTAGTTTGCCATGGCCTGCCTCTGCACAGCAACCCTGGACTTCCCTGGCGGTCTCCCATCCAAGTACTAACCAGGACCGACCCTGCTTCGCTTCTGAGATCTCACAAGATCTGGCTAGCCTGGGCCATCCAGGTCAAGGAAAGAGATGCTCAGAGGTGGCTTGCCATGGCCTGCCTCTGCACAGCAACCCTGGACTTCCCTGGTGGTCTCCCATCCAAGTACTAACCAGGGCCGACCCTGCTTCGCTCCTGAGATCTCACAAGATCTGGCTAGCCTGGGCCATCCAGGTCAAGGAAAGAGATGGGCAGAGGTGGCTTGCCATGGCCTGCCTCTGCACAGCAACCCTGGACTTCCCTGGCGGTCTCCCATCCAAGTACTAACCAGGACCCACCCTGCTTCGCTTCTGAGATCTCACAAGATCTGGCTAGCCTGGGCCATCCAGGTCAAGGAAAGAGATGGGCAGAGGTGGCTTGCCATGGCCTGCCTCTGCACAGCAACCCTGGACCTCCCTGGAGGTCTCCCATCCAAGTACTAACCAGGACCCACCCTGCTTCGCTTCTGAGATCTCACAAGATCTGGCTAGCCTGGGCCATCCAGGTCAAGGAAAGAGATGGGCAGAGGTGGCTTGCCATGGCCTGCCTCTGCACAGCAACCCTGGACTTCCCTGGCGGTCTCCCATCCAAGTACTAACCAGGACCGACCCTGCTTCGCTTCTGAGATCTCACAAGATCTGGCTAGCCTGGGCCATCCAGGTCAAGGAAAGAGATGGGCAGAGGTGGCTTGCCATGGCCTGCCTCTGCACAGCAACCCTGGACCTCCCTGGAGGTCTCCCATCCAAGTACTAACCAGGACCCACCCTGCTTCGCTTCTGAGATCTCACAAGATCTGGCTAGCCTGGGCCATCCAGGTCAAGGAAAGAGATGGGCAGAGGTGGCTTGCCATGGCCTGCCTCTGCACAGCAACCCTGGACCTCCCTGGAGGTCTCCCATCCAAGTACTAACCAGGGCCGACCCTGCTTAGCTCCTGAGATCTGATGAGATTGGGCTAGCGTGGCCAGGGCAATTCCTCCCTCCAGGGGTTTACACGTTCGGCAATGCAATAAATAAAATAAGTCCTTTGCTTAAAATACACAGAACGAAAGGGGCTGGTTTCTGCAGAACCCAGATATGTCACGAAAGGATATCGGCAAGCGGAAAGGGATCATCGAGGAAAGGAACAGTGACCAGGAACACGAACAGACCTCTGCTGATCCTAACGACACAAATTCTCCAAAACCTCTGGCAGGGAAGTCCTGCATTTCTTGGGGGGGGGGTGTGTGTGTGGATCTCTCTACCACTATGAAGACTAGAAACCTAAAAACACAAAGCTACGATTCTCAGAAATCAAAAACATAGCAGAGGGTTCTGTCTACAACGTCCAGGACAAAAATGGGTGGGGCCACTAACCTGATCAGAGAAGTGGGGAGGAAACGCACCTGTAACAGCTGCAGGCGGGGGGTACGGCAGGTTGGGGGCACCCAAGGGATGGCCAGTTGCTCCTTGACGGTAGCGGCGATCGCTCTGTGAAGTGTCGTCGATTTGCCTGCAGGGACACAACGTCGGAGTGGCTACTGCTGTTTCGAACTCAGTCCCCAAGGCCCCAATCCCAAATTTGCTCCCCCCCCTCCCCAGTTTCCTCCATACCCACAGGCTGGCTGGCATCTTCCGAAGCATCGCGTGGCAGCTTCTCCACAAGGAAGAGGAGAAGGCGTCGGATTTCCGGCTCGCTGCTGTATAAGAAGGTCTGGTAGCCGACTTCCCCTTGGTACCCCAAGTCCTGGATGATGGCGAAAGGACATGGGTGAGCCAAGACGTGGGGGGGAGGGAGGGAGGGTGCAATGTTCCCTCTAAGCTGTAGAGTCTTGTGAGCAAAAATTCTACTTTTTGAGCTACTGGCATTAAAGTTGTGAGCGAGTGATTTGGCTACTGCATAAATTAGTTTGCTCTGGAGCTGTCCTTCCTGAGCTAAGACAGAAATGTGTGAGCTGGAGGCTAAAAAACTGTGAGCTAGCTCACACTAACTCATCTTAGAGGGAACACTGGTTGGGTGTACAAAGCCTCGGAATGAGTTTTTTTTACCCCTTGAAACCCCCCCCCCCCGAAAATTGCATGCAAATAGAAAACTGCAGGTCTGGCCATAGGCTAGGTTGAACATTTCTCAGAGACGCTACATTTCTTTAAAACATTTTTAAAAAATCAATAAAGGTTTATTCAAGGTTTTCAACATGTAACAATACAAGAATATGACAACAATATGATGAGAAGAGCAAAAGGAGTAACAACAAACATTAGTCAATGTTATCTAAGTACTTAAGGAGGTATCATGATGCTTATTAACATAACATCTATCTTGCTACTAACTACAGTTCACTGATGGGTTAGTAGCGGTAGCCTATATGTTACTCTAAACAATTCTATATTCAGAAACAAAGCCAGTATTTATCATTAGCAAGAGGGAGCCACTTCCTTTTCTGAGAGAAACTGAATGATTGGAAACCACTTACATACAAATGGTGTTTGATAATCCTCGTTAGTGTGATTTGCTAGGCCAGCCGCTATTTTTCCCGTAATAAATTGCATCCAAAGCTTATCATAAAGGTAAAGGTAAAGGTTCCCTTGCTCGAAAGCCAGTCGAGTCCGACTCTAGGGTTGCGGTGCTCATCTCCGTTTCAAAGCCGAAGAGCCAGCGCTGTCCGAAGACGTTTCCGTGGTCATGTGGCTGGCATGACTAAACACCTTCCCACTGAAGCGGTACCTATTTATCTACTTGCAATTTCTTGCTTTCGAACTGCTAGGTTGGGAGGAGCTGGGACTAGAGACGGGAGCTCACTCCGTCATGCGGCATACTCGGGTCTCGAACTGCTGAACTACCCACCTTCCACAGCCTGCAGTTCAGCATCTTAACCACTTGAGCCACTGTAGCTCCTCTAAAGCTTACCATACCACAGGTCTAATGACGGGCCTGAGACTGATTTCCATCTACGTATAGAACCCCCTGAAGACTTTGCATGAAACATGTAGGGGTATTGATATTTAGAATAAAGAATTTCTTCCCACTGCACCATTGTTTTTCCTTTGTCTGTTGCTCCTGCTATGATGTGATGTTTCTTGCTGGCAACCTGCTCTTCCCACCATTGATCTTTCAGGCAGCAGAAGAAACTTTCTTTAAACATCACCATAGAGTTTCTGGCAATTCCTAGAATGATGTGACATAAAACCTATGGAGCAGAGGTCCATCAGTGGCTATTAGCCACAAGGTATAGATAGGAACTCTGGGGCAACGGATGCTCCGTCTTCTTGGTGCTTTGGGGGGGGCGGTCAACAGTGGGAGGGCTTCTAGTGCCCTGGCCCCACTGGTGGACCTCCTGATGGCACCTGGTATTTTTGGCCACTGTGTGAAACAGAGTGTTGGATTGGATGGGCCATTGGCCTGCTCCAACATTGGCTTCTCTTATGTTCTTAGTTATACTGTGCCATTCCACCCAAAAGTCCAAGGCATCTTACAATGAATGTGCCGGAAGAACTAGAAAATGTATTTTTCACCAAAAAAAATTTAGCCTTAAAAACTGTTCCCAACATCAGTAAAAAAATCACTGGCGGTAGACTTGCCCCAAAACATGAGCCTGTCTTTTTCAACCAGAAGTTGGTCACAACCCTGCAGACCTCTTCATGTTTTTCCATTCCCTGTCCTTTGGTGGGAGTGGCCATGGTCAGTGGTAGAACCTCTGCTTGGCACCAGGCAGTAGGTGATGAGAAAGACCCTAACCTGAGACCCGGGCTCAGTGGCAGAGCCTCTGCTTCGCATGCAGAAGGTCCCAGGTTCGAAACCAGGAGTCTCCAGTTAAAAAGGACCAGACAGGAGGGGATGGGAAAGAGCTCTGCCTGGGACCCTGGAGAGCTGTTGGAAGGGGCCATGGCTCAGTGGCAGAGCCTCTGCTTCGCATGCAGAAGGTCCCAGGTTCGAAACCAGGAGTCTCCAGTTAAAAAGGACCAGACAGGAGGGGATGGGAAAGAGCTCTGCCTGGGACCCTGGAGAGCTGCTGCCAGTCTGAGCAGACCAGAATGACGTTGGAGGACCAAGAGACTGACTCAGTAGACGGCAGCTTCATTTGACCAAGGCTAAGAATCAGGAAATTCCTAAGGACCGATCCTCCAGCCAAACCACCCAGCTGCTACTTAGAATCATAGAGTTGGAAGTGACCTCCAGGGTCATTCAGTATTTGATTTGGCGGTATTTACCTGACAGGCTTGCGCCAGGCTCATGCCGATCCGGAAGCGGGCGGACATCCCGGGAGGCAGGATATGGCTCAGGCTGGCCCCCACGGAAGGGTTAATGACCCGGAGGCATCGCACGACGGCCTCGACAATCAACTCGGTGGTGAATTCGCGGATGCTCTGCACTTCGTCGGGGATGTCCCTGGGAGGGGGGGAGAAGAAGAAGAAGATTGGATTTATACCCCGCCCTTCACTACCCAGAGGAGTCTCAGAGCGGCCTACAAACTCCTTTCCCTTCCCCTCCCCACCACAGACACCCTGTGAGGGAGGTGGGGATGAGAGAACTCTGACAGAAACTGCTCTTTTTCAAGAAAAGCTCTGACAGAACTATGGCTTGCCCAAGGTCATCCAGCCAGGTGCAAGTGGAGGAGTAGAGAATCAAACCCGGTTCTCCCAGATTAGAGTCCGCGCACTTAACCACTACACCAAACTGATGCATTAGACACCCCTCCACTGTTTGCTCCTCTACTTGAGGGCAGTGTGGTGAAGGAGCAAAATTCGTCCAAGGGACCAGCCTGCTAACTGCTGTACTTCTGGGGGGGGGGGGGGGTCAGTCCGTCTTTCTCGGCCTAAGCTACCTCACGGGAACAAGGTGGGCCTACACAGATGATCCGAGGCCGGCACTCCCAGCCAACCACAATGACAACCACCAAAAAACAAGAACTGCAGAAATAGGTGAAGAACCAGTAACTCTTTAGTCCATTTAATGAAATACGTGTCGGTATTTTCAGATGGTATTCGCATCGGGCTACAGGAGCAGATAGATTCCCCCTTGTTTTACCTCATTTTACTTCACCGTTGCTTATCATCTTGTGGCCTCAATTTACTGTCAGTTAGGCCGTCAGAAAACAACAGAAATACTTAGAAAATGAAGTTTCGGTTACTTTTCTATTTTAGTCACACAATTATATCTCTACACACAGATTCGAGTCCAGCTGCACTTTAGAAACCAAGGTTTTCGTGGTGTAAACTTTCGAGAGTCGAAGCTGTCTTTGTCAGATACAAGTCGGAACGGAAATCCCTCAGCATTCATATCTTATGAAGGGAGCTTTGACTCTCGAAGGCTCATATGCCGAAAGCGTTGGCTCTCTTAGGTGCTACTGAACTCAAATCTGTGTGTAGATATATACGTTCGTGACTAAAACAGAAAATTAACCGAAATTTCGTTTTCTAAGCATTTCTGCTGTTTTTTGATGGCCTAATGAAGTAAATGGAGACCACAAGATGATAAGCAACGATGAGGTAAACCAGGCCCACCCAGGCCTGGCTTAAATCCCACCTCTGCAAACAGGGGAAAGCAGGCCTGTAGCTACTGTGTGGCCCCGGGGGGAGACGCCCCCTCGCTAATCTGATCTGCCCCATGAATCGAGCGGAGGCTTGGCCTGACTCCATTTGGTAGGCCCAGCAGAAAAAGATGAACTGCGCAAATTCATAGACAAGAACCTAGCCCGGGGTTTCATCAGACCGGCGTCCTCCCCGTTTGCAGCTCCAGTCTTGTTTAGGAAGAAGAAGGATGGGGGGTTGAGATTATGCACGGATTACAGAGGTTTGAATGCAGTGTCTTCAACCAATGCATATCCCATGCCCTTGATCAAAGACCTACTAGCGGAAGCGGCAAAAGGAAAAATCTTTTCTAAATTGGATCTTCGGGATGCGTACTTTTGAGTGCGCATTAAGGAGGGGGATGAGTATAAGACTACTTTCAACACCCCCCTCGGACAGTTTGAGTACCGAGTGATGCCTTTTGGTCTTCGAGGAGCCCCAGGGGTCATCATGAACTTGATCAACGAGGTATTGCACAAACACTTGTTCAAGGGGGCCCTTGTTTACCTAGATATCTTGCTGTACTCCCCAGACCTCCCCTCTCACGTGAAATTGGTGAGGGAGGTGCTGGCCACATTGCACAAGCACAAACTGTTTGCAAAACTGTCTAAATGCGAGTTTCACAAGACACACATTGACTTTTTTGGGTATCGAATCTCTGACCAGGGTCTAGAGATGGATCCGGGCAAGGTGCGGGACGTGCTGGGCTGGGGGGTACCCCACACCCGACGCCAGCTCCAATCCTTCCTCGGATTTGCGAACTTTTACCGAACCTTTTTGGCCAATTTTGCCCAAGCCAGCTTACCCCTGACGGACTTATTAAAAACTAAGGGAAAGGGCCCGGAGGCTACGAAGCCAGGCTCGGCGTTGCCATGGAGTAAGGAGTGTCAGGAGGCTTTCGAACGCCTCAAAGCATTGTTCACTTCGGAGCCAGTCCTTGCCCACCCAGATGAAATGAAAAACTTCATTGTGCAAACTGATGTGTCGGATGTGGCCATGGGGGGGGGGGGACGGGCTGCTTCATCCATTGGTGTACGTGTCGCGGAAGTTTAATGACACCGAATGGAACTGGTCTGTTTGGGAGAAGGAGGCGGGGGTTATAAAACTCGCCCTATCCACCTGGAGACACTGGTTGGAAGGGGCACGGGTCCCGTTCGAGGTGTGGACTGATCATAAAAACTTAGAAACACTCAAAACGCCTCGATGCCTTAATGCTAAGCAGCTTCGCTGGGCAGATTTCTTTTCCAAATTCCAGTTCACCCTCCATCACTTCCCCGGTTCAGCAAACTCCCTGGCCGACGCCCTGTCCTGCCTACCCCAACACGATAGCCAATGGGAAGTTGTGTTGGACTCTGTGTTCGTGCCTTCACAGTTGGGCAGAGCGGTGATGACACGATGCCAAGCTCGCCGCGATCCTCCGCCCACGGTGATGCAGAAACACCCCCCCAAGCCAGAAGGGGAGGGGGAAGAAACTTAGCACAGGAAGTTCGCCTCGGCTTTCTCGGAGGGCGATAAGGCCGTGCTCGAAGCGGAGGGTGATTTCGAGCTAAGAACAAATGGCTGTTGGTATAGAGGACATAAACTATATGTTCTCCTTTCACTCCGGGAGGAGGTGTTATAAGCGGTGCATGGCTCCAAACTGTCGGGGCACCCGGGATTCATGAAATCTCTTCAGTTATTGCAACGTCAGTTTTGGTGGCCACTAATGCGCAAGGATCTATCCTCATTTATCAAGTCATGTCAGCTCTGTGCCATGAGTAAGCCTTGACCGGGGAAACCCCCCGGACTGTTGCATCCACTACCTACTCCGAACCAACCCTGGGAGATTATCTCCAAGGATTTTATTACAGATCTCCCGCAGAGTAAAACAATGACTGTTATATGGGTAGTTGTGGATTTGTTTTCCAAGTAAGCACATTTTATTCCCTTTGCCTCCCTGCCAACGGCTAAGGCACTGGCAAAGACATTTCTCAGAGACGTGGTGCATTTACACATGATCCCCACTAAGGTGGGGGGAGCTAATGAAACTGATGGGGGTGGAGAGGGGGCTGAGCAGCGCTTATCACCCAGAGACTGATGGTCAAACAGAACGGGTGAATCAGACCTTGGAGCAATATATCCGTTGTTTTACAAACTATCGACAAGACGACTGGGTCGACCTCTTGCCCCTGGCCGAATTCTGTTATAATAACACGTCGCACTCCTCTATTGGGATGTCTCCTTTCAAAGCATTGTATGGCCCGCCCATCCCGTTCCTGGCTGAGGACGCGGACTTAGGGCCGGGGGATGCTGCTCTACGGTGTAAACAGTTACGAGACTCTTGGCCTTTACTATGTAAGACTTTAGATGCTGCCAAGGAAGCGTACAAATGCCAGGCTGACAAGAGAAGGGTGGAGGGTTGGGCTCTGCAGCCTGGAGACTTTGTTTGTGTGTCTACTAAAAACATCCCGCTTTTATCCCCTAGTCGAAAACTGGGTTGGAAGTACATTGGGCCATTTCCAATAAAAAGGATGATCAATGAGGTGGCCATAGAACTGGATTTACCCAAGAACTGTATTCTGTGTTTCATTTCAGCCTCCTGAAAAAGGAGTCCGGTTCCAGCCCTTGGCATCCATCAAAACCAGTATCCCCTCCAATCTTGGTTGAGGGCGAGGAACATTATGAAATATCAAATGTGTTGGACTCTAAAATCAAACGTGGGAAGTTGATGTATTTAGTTGAATGGGCAGACTTTGGACCCCAGCACCTCGAATGGGTGGAAGCAGGGGATATTCGAGCCCCTATATTCTTGCGGAAATTTCATCGTGTTTTCCCAGACAAACCGGGAAATCCCCCGAAATGCCCGGGAGACCTCCCGTTCCAAGGGTGTAAAGCAGGTTTTCGAGGGGGCAGTATGTCACCTATGCTGCCATGGGGGTGGGGAGGTTCATTCTCTTCTAATTGCCTTTGCATTCCTTATGTGCTTCTTTGCTGCTACGACGCTTATCTCTAAGTATTGCAGGTGGTGATGTTGACGTTTGGTTTTCTTGGGAACCGTTTCGTTCCCAGCTTCAGTACTAAACGGCCGAAGCTCTATCTCCCGCGCGCAGGAAGTTGGCTAATTGGCCAGGGCAGTGGGGGGGGGTGCATACGAATTCCCTTTATCCTATTGTGCCCCATGGGCAGCCGTCATTCTTAACAGTGCCTATCTTAATGCATCTATAGCTCTTCAATGAAGTATTACCTCTTATGAAAGCGTGTACTACGTTGTTGGCTGTGGGTTCTGACAGGAGGACTGGTTTTCCCTTTAAATGTGCTCTTTGCTTTATTAAACTGGGTAGATTCGGCTGCTACCAGGAATTTAAGGATTTCCAAACCTTCTCTCTGTTCTTTTTTCTGGTAAAGTAACCCAGGGTCTAGGCTTCTCAGGGATCTATGTGGTCCTGAGGAAGGACTGAATTCAATTCTTTTGTTTAAGACGATTTATTGAACTAAGAACAAAATATGAGGTTGGTTATTCTGTAACTGTTTAGGATAAGGTAAAGGTAAAGGTTCCCTTGCTCGAAAGCCAGTCGAGTCCGACTCTAGGGTGGCGGTGCTCATCTCCGTTTCAAAGCCGAAGAGCCTGCGCTGTCTGAAGCCGTTTCCGTGGTCATGTGACCGGCATGACTAAACACCAGGGCGCATGGAACGCTGTTACCTTCCCACCGAAGTGGTACCTATTTATCTACTTGCAATGTCTTGCTTTCTAACTGCTAGGTTGGCAGGAGCTGGAACTAGAGACGGGAGCTCACTCCATCATGCGGCACATTCGGGTCTCGAACTGCTGAACTACCGACCTTCCACAGCCTGCAGTTCAGCGTCTTAACCACTTGATCCACCGCAGTTTAGGATAAAGGGACTTGTCAATATGTTGTTCAAATGTATCACACACAGAGCCTTTTCCCCCTTTACTTTTGTTTGTTTGACACTCAGTTCCAACATTAACAGGATTCCCTCTTTCCTTTAGAGTCAGCCACTCAGGCTAAGGACATATATACTCCCTCTTTGAGATCTCACGCAGAACTCTAATAACCCTCACTGACTGAACACCTTTCTCCTCTGAGGGAGGCGGCGGCAGGGGACGGTCCTTGTCCACTTCTTCCTCTCACACGTCGCCAGTCTCCTTGGCTGGCTGCTGGGCGCATCCCGCTTCCTGAAGCCCCCGACCCTGCCTGGCGCTCGAGTGAAGCCATGGCCGAGTCTTTCACTTCCTCATGCCCCCAGCTGGGGGTGGTTTGCTTGTCTCATCCACCAGAGCTAACCGGCCTTCCAGTTGCCTCCGCCCTGCTCGTCCCTTTGGGGGGCGAGCAAATGTCTCCAGCAAAGAACGGCCATGATAGCCAGCGACCTAGACAAAGCCTTTCATAGGTGGATTGGGGGGGGGGGGGGGGGGGGACTGAGGCACGCCACACTGCACTGACCCTGCCAGGGCTTGGGCTGAATGGGTGTGTGTGCATACAGGATGGGTGAAGGGCCAAGGTGCTGGAAGGGGTGCAAAGTGCCAGCGTCAACCTGGATGCCTTCACCCAGGCCAGGGGTGGCCAAACTGTGGCTCAGGAGCCACACGCGGCTCTTTCACGCTTATTGTGAGGCTCTCGGCAGGGCAGCTGGAGGAAATGAAGGGGAGGGACACTTTTTCTCCCTCCCATCTATTTGCTTTGTTTCTCTCTCTCTCTTTCTTTCCACCTCTTTCATTTTCTTTCCACCTCTCTTTCTCTCTCTCTTAGACAAATCAATATCATTAGCAAACAAATATCATTACCTGTTTTTACCCCTTTTGTGTTTATTTTTGGCAATCTCATTCAATGTTAATAAAAAGTGCAAATTTGCATATTTTAAAAAATAAAAACATGAGAGTGATATTTGTTTCTGCCCTGCAGCTCTCAAACATCTGATGTGGGTGCACACTTTGGGGAAGGGGGGGACAGAAGGGGGCAGCTGGCAGAGCCCCCCCATGCCTACGTCATTCCCCTCACTGCCGGGTGCCTCCATTCTTCTTTCTTCCCCGCCCCCCCTCCATTCAGTGCCCCCCCACAGATAATCATCTAGCTACGGGACTGGGGGAAAGCTACTGGGTTTTGAGCCGTGGAGCCGTGGAGACTTTTTAGTGGAGTCCAGAATGGGGAACAAGCTCACCACAAAGAGATCCTCATATTTAACCCTGCTGTAGGACCCCCCCACCCACCCACGAACCCTCGCAAGAGTGAAGAGGAAAGAGTCTGAGAAAGCACATGACTTGAAGGTGAAAATTAAGAGTGAGAGATTAATTTCTCCCTATTCTCAGCTAATTTGCCCATGAGTTGTGAGCCGCCGTGAAGGCGAGAGGTAAATATTTTAACAAAATTAATAAGAGGTGCTACCAAGGCATTAAAGTCGTGAGCGAGCGACTGGTCTACTGCATGAATCGGTCTGCTCTGGAGCCCTCCTTCCTGAGCGGAGACAAGAACCCGTGAGCTGGAGGCTAAAAAACTGTGAGCTGGCTCACACTAACTCACCTTAGAGGGAACACTGGGTGCTACCCCCAATCTCGCTCTTCAGTCCTTCTAGAAACTGTCTTCTCCTCGTCCCCCTCACCGCATTTTTTCCCCCAATGGCCAGTTTTCACACTCCAGGTTTTGGGACAACCCCTCCCCTCCCGCAGTCGACCCTCTTCCGCCAGCCGTGTTTGTGCAGCACACTTTCGGACCCACTCCTATGGGCCTGACGCTGCTTGCTTCCCACCCACCATTCCTCACGAAGCGATCACGCACACAGGCAAACACAACGCGCGACATCAAGATGGCCTTACGTCCCAGAGAGGCGAAGGGAATGTATGAGGATCCTGTCCACCTCCTCCATGATGCTGTGACATCGAGGGAGATGGGAATTCCTACGAAAGAGAGGCAGGAAATATTCATTATTATTATTTATTTGTTATTTTCGATTTATAACCCGCCTTTCCTGCACGGGCAGGCTCAAGGCAGCGAAAGATATAGAAAGGGCCATGAGTTCAAGTCATGCAAAGGCCCTGTCGCTCAGGAGCCCCTCGAAGGCCAGGTCACCCCCCAAATATTTCTTCAAAACCACCTCCATTTGATTAGAACCAGGGCTCTTTTTGTAGAAAAAGCCCAGCAGGAACTCATTAGCATAATAGGCCACACCCAACAGCAGGAACTCATTAGCATATTGGGCCACACCCCTGACAGCACCGCTCATTAGCACATTAGGCCGCACCCACATGTTACCAGAAGTGTGGTTATCCAGCCACACCCACCTTTCCCTTCTTATTCTGTTTACCTTGTTTGTTGTCCAAACCCAGGGCCTTTTTTTGTAGCAGGAACTCCTTTGCATGTTAGGCCACACACCCCTAATGTAGCCAATCCTAATGAGTTTCTGCTGTTGGGTGTGGCCTATTATGCTGATGAGTTCCTGCTGGGCGTGGCCAACTTGGGAGCCAGCCGGAACTCCGTTCCTGTGCGTTCCTGCCCCCAAACAGCCCTGATTAGAACATACATGCTGCAATTCTCCCCCCCCCTCCACTGACAGTAGTTTCCTATATCCCAGGGTAGCCCTAGACCAGGGATCCCCAACATGATGACCGTGGGCAACACCTTTCCAGCAGCAGCAGCAGGAGGAGAGAGGATTGGATTCATACCCCGCACTTCACTCCCCAAAGGAGTCTCAAAGCGGCTTACAATCTCCTTTCCCTTCCCCTCCCCACAACAGACACCCTGCGAGGTAGAGGTGGGGCTGAGCGAGCTCTTTCGAGAACTGCTCCTGAGAGAACAGCCCTGAGAGAACTTGTGACTGGCCCAAGGTCACCCCAGCAGCTGCATGTGAAGGAGTGGGGCATCAAACCCGGTTCTCTCAGATTTAGAGTCCGCGCTCCTAACCACTACACCAGACACTTTAGAAAATGTGAGGGGCCATGTAAGCCTATTCCCCAGCAAGGCTTTTGATGAACTACTGGAGATTTGATTGTCTGTGCAGATTTTTTTTGAAACACAGATTTGGTGGCGGCGGCGGCAGCTGCCACTACAGCACAAGGATATTCCCTGTGTGACTGCGGGTAAGCTGTGGCAGCCATTTTGTGTCTGGTGCTGCCTCCTGCGGCAGCCATTTTGCGCCTGCGCCCACCACAACAGTGTCAGGATTCCAAAGGGGCCCACAGGCTCCAAAAGGTTGGGGACCCCTGGACTAGACTACCTCCTTGGCCCTGTCAGAAGTCTCAAGTCAGGCCTCATCTCTTCTTTTCACCAGGGGGGTGGATGGATATTAAGACCCATCTTTCTAAGACCGCTTCGGTTTCAGGCATCCACATCGATAATCCTTCCCAGACGCTCAGCCCACAACATTTCTACAGGCTTGCGCACAGTGATTCTGATAAGGGAACTTGCCTTTTCGGAGGCAGCCAACCTCTGGATCCCGGTGCCAGGAGGCAGCCACGGGAGAAGGCCTTGCCCTCTACACCCTGTTTGCTGGCCTTCCAGGTTGGCCACTCTGTGGGACAGGATGCTGGTCTGATCTAGCAGGGCTCTCCTTATGTTCTTGTAATAAGAACTATGGCAAAGCCAGACGCTCCAAACACAAAATAACGTAAGAAGGGCTTTGCTAGATGAAATCGAAGATCGTTTCTAAGCCAGTATCTGGGAGACCCAGATTCGAATCTCTGCTCGTGCCATGGAAGCGCACTAGGTGACCTCGGGCCATTCACACTCTCTCAGCCTAACCTACCTCACAGGGTTCTGGTAAGCATAAAACAGAAGAGAAGAGAACAACGTGATCCGCTTTGGCATCCCCGTTGGGGAGAAAGGCGGGAAAGAACATAACATAGGAACGTAAGAGAAGCCATATTGGATCAGGCCAATGGCCCAAACAGTCCAAGACTCTCTTGTCACACGGTGTCCAAAACCCAGGTGCCATCAGGAGGTCCCCCAGCAGGGCCAGAACTCCAGAAGCCCTCCCACTGTGGCCCCCCAAGCACCAAGAATACAGAGCATCACTGCCCCAGACATAAGAACGTAAGAGAAGCCATGTTGGATCGGGCCAATGGCCCATCCAGTCCAACACTCCGTGTCACACAGTGTCCAAAACTCAGGCGCCATCAGGGGGTCCACCAGCGGGGCCAGAACTCTAGAAGCCCTCCCACTGTGGCCCCCCAAGCACCAAGAATACAGAGCATCACTGCCCCAGACATAAGAACGTAAGAGAAGCCATGTTGAATTAGGCCAATGGCCCAAACAGTCCAACACTCTGGGTGCGTTCAGACGGGGGATTTACAACGGTATAGGTGCCGGTTCCAACCGGTGTACTTACTGGCGTTCAGACGGCGAACATCTGCCTCCCGTCCCTAACCGTTGTAAATCCCTTTAAACCGTTGCACTCTGCCACTAGGTCCCCAAGTGGTGGTATACTGAGTGCAACGGTTGCTTTCGATGTACCCCTCCGTCTGATTGCTCTCCACCGGTGTCTAGCCATTTCCGTCGGAAGCCTGAGGCTTCCGTTTTCCCCCCGCCATTTTTTAAAAAAACTGAGCGATATGCGCTTGGGCGAAGCTTCGCCCTGAGCGTTTGTTTAAAAAAAAAAAAGCCCTTACTATGCACATGCTCAAACTGTGTTGTTTTTTTAAAAAAAAAAAAAAATTAAGGTGAACAACAGGGAAGCCGGAGAGATTTTCTGTCACTGTGGCAGGAATACGTCGAGGGGATCAGAGTCCAGTGCGGAAGCGGTACAACAAAAGTGTCAAATTACCATCAAGAGACACAGCAGGTGCTGTGACGGGAGGGGAAAACCCAGCATGGGAAAAACATACAAATATCTTTGCCTCAGATAGCAAAAAGTGACAGCAGAGGAAGCCGGCCTGGCTTGTCAGCCTTCCCTAGTAATCTGCACTCTTCCCACACACAGTGGCCAAAACCCAGGTGCCATCAGGAGGTCCACCAGCAAGGCCAGAACTCCAGAAGCCACTGTGGCCCCACAAGCACCAAGAATGCAGAGCATCACTGCCCCAGACAGAGTTTTCCACACCTTGTGGATAATAACCACTCATGGACCTCTGTTCTGTATATTTATCCGAACGAATTAAAGAAATATCCTGTTTGCAAAAAGGACTCGGCTCTGGGAAGCCAAGAGGAAGGGCATGAAGCCCTCCGCTTTTTATCTCTTAAGCATCTGATACTCACAGGTACACGCTGACCCTGAGCAGAGAGGGACCATTAGGCTATTACAGCTAATGGCCATAAACTGACTCATCCTTCCGGAATTCTTCAAATCTCCTTTGCCAGACTCATAAGAACGTAAGAGAAGCCAATGTTGGATCAGGCCAGTGGCCCATCCAGTCCAACACTCTGTCACACAGTGGCCAAAAATACCAGGGGCCAGGACACTAGAAGCCCTCCCACTGTTGCCCCCCCCCAGCACCCCAGCATCCCGTGCCCCCGAACAAGAGTTCCTATCTATACCTTGTGGCTAATAGCCACTGATGGACTTCAGCTACATCTGTCACTGGGTCTTGTGGCAGTGAATTCCATAAGCTAACTGAGCACATTTGGGAAGAAGAGCTGGTTTTTGTCTGTCCTGAATCTACTGCCTATTAACTGTGCTGGACTATCTTGAGTTCTGATATTGGGGGGGAGGGGAGAGAATTCTACACACCGCCGCTCTTCTCTCCCCCACCGCTCATTTCTGAAACCGCTATACTGGGGTCCCCAACATGGCGGACAAGATTAGGTTTATAAGATTTTGCATGGGAAAGAGCAGGTAGAGAAAGAGGTACTTTTCTCCCTTTCTCACAGTACAAGAACTCGTGGGCACTCCATGAAATTGCTGAGCGGTCGGGTTAGAACGGATAAAAGGAAGTACTTCTTCACCCAAAGAGTGATTAACACATGGAATTCACTGCCACAGGAAGTGGTGGCAGCTACAAGCATGGACGGCTTCAAAAGGGAATTAGATAAGCATATGGAGCAGAGGTCCATCAGTGGCTATTACTCCTCCATCCCCCCCATCTCCCCGAGGCGGTGGGGGCCGCAGCAGCGGCGAGGCCGGTGTTCGCCCCCCGCCCCGCCCGCCCCCCCCGCCCTGCCTGCCGGCTCTGGGGAGGGGGAGGAGGCGGCGGCGGCGAGGCCTCTCTCCTGGCACTAAAGTTGTGAGCAAGTGATTTGGCTACTGCATAAATTAGTTTGCTCTGGAGCCCTCCTTCCTGAGCTAAGACAAAAATGTGTGAGCCGGAGGCTAAAAAACTGTGAGCTAGCTCACACTGACTCAGCTTAGAGGGAACACTGCGCTGCCAGATATCAGGAAAAACGTTTTGACAGTCAGAGTTGCAGCAACAGTGGAATCAGCTGCCTCGGGAGCGGGTGAGCTCCCCTTCATTGGAAGTCTTCAAGCAGCGGCTGGACAGTTGTCAGGGATGCTCTAGACCAGTGGTGTCGAACTCATTTGTTATGAGGGCGGGATCCGACATAAATGTCACTTTGTTGGGCCGGGCCACGTGTGCCATAAGACGTAATGCCGGGTACTGGAGATATAAAGTGTAAGGACAGCAGCGGGTAAGCTCCGCATTGGTGTATCCTCACTGCAAGGCCTCATGTGTTAGGAAGGAGGCGCAAAGGAAAACCCAAACGGGAGGACTGGACTGCCAGAGGTGCAGCACTGGACAGATGCTCCTACGCTGCTTGACTGCTGCAGACGAGGTTGTTCCGCCATGCTGAAGCTACAATCGCAGTGGCTCTGCCCACTCTCCCTTCAGAAGTCTCCTTTCCCTTCCCTTACACTAGTTGTTTGCAGGCCGCATAAGAGCCCTGAACGGGCTGCATCCAGCCCCCGGGCCTTGTGTTTGACACCCCTGGCCTAGACTGATCCCGCATTGAGCAGGGGGCTGGACTAGATGGCCTGCAGGGTCCCTTCCCACTCTGTGGTTCTACGATTCTATGAGAGTCCAAGCCAAGCTCCTGCGGGCAATGCAACGGCTCAGACACAGGGTGTGTGTTTTGTTCGCAACAGCCAACCAACCAGAACCGGAACAGGCCCCGATCCCCAAATAGTTAGCATAACGATTAGGCTTCAGAAACACAAAACAGAGCGCCCCTGAGCATGTTGAGAGTGCAACATCACTGCTTGCCAACCCCATGAAGTCGCACCAAAGATGCAGAGTGAATTGACCAGGGTGTCAGCTCTGCAGCCTCCATCCCATTCCTTCCTGGGCTTTCGGTACTTCTCAGCCACCTCTACCATCATAAGAACGTAAGAACATAATGTTGGATCAGGCCAAAGGCCCATCCAGTCCAACACTCTGTGTCACACAGTGGCCAGAAATAGCAGGTGCCATCAGGAGGTCCACCAGTGGGGCCAGGACATTAGAAGCCCTCCCACTGTTGACCCCCCCAAGCACCAAGAAGAGAGCACCACTTGCCCCAGAGCCCCTATCTATACCTTGTGGCTAAGAGCCACTGATGGAGCTCTGCTCCATACGCTTATCTAATTCCCTTTTGAAGCCGTCCATGCTTGTAGCCGCCACCACTTCCTGTGGCAGTGAATTCCATGTATTAATCACTCTTTGGGTGAAGAAGTACTTCCTTTTATCCGTTCTAACCCGACCGCTCAGCTTGAGTTCCCACCATTTCTTGTATTGTGAGAAAGGGAGAAAAGGACCTCTTTCTCTGCAGGCCGGCCAGCCAGCTAATGTATGTCAACACCTGGGAAGAAACAGGACAGGAATCGCAGACACGGCAGAATCACACAGTGGGAGCTTTGCAGTGGAGAGTCTCCAACCCCTGCTCTGAAAGCGGTGGGTGTTAACGGAGGCTCATTTTCGGCTTGCCAGCCTCCAGGGAGAGGGGAAACACATGCAACGAATGCTGTGCAATGTAAACAATGCGTTTCAAAATATTTGCTTTACCTGAGCGTGTAGCAATCACAATTCTTGTTTCTACTTATCAACTCTTGAAGGAAACATTCCAAGTTGACTCTCTAATCACAGAACCCAAGGTCTTCACAATGTTCTGCTATTAGAGTCACGTGGAATGATGAGTAGAAATGGATAAGAATTGTGTTTGCTACACGCTCAGATAAAACAATATTGTGAAACGAATTGTTTACATTGCACAGCATTCGTTGGGTGTGAGCAATAATAGAAGAGAATTTTCTACTGAATTACTACAGTAAATGATTTTGCAAACATATCTTCGTTGACTCTTCGTTATTTTTGTCACGGATGTTGTTTTTGGATTCCCGCTTTCTCCCATGATTAGAACATAAGAGATGCCAATGTTGGATCAGGCCAAAGGCCCATCCAGTCCAACACTCTGTATCACACAGTGGCCAGAAATACCAGTGCCATCAGGAGGTCCACCAGTGGGGCCAGGACATTAGATCTCTCTTTTTTTGGCTTCAACCTCCAGGGGGAGGCTGGAGATCTCCCAGAATTACGGCTGATCTTTCCATGACATGTACTCTACGGCATGATACCCCAATGAGGTCTGTTCCTCAGGCCTTGCCCTCCCCAGGTTCCACCCCCAAATCTCCAGGAACTTCCCCAACCCAGGGCTGGCAGCCCTAGCTCATTCCTCTATCGATTTGTTGAGAGCAATTTGTGCGATTTCTGGCTCTAATTTGTTCTAAGTCACCTTGAGTTCAACTGGGGAATGGCAGGGTAAAAGCAATTTTTAATTAAATATATGAGCAAGCACGCGGCAGACCCTAAATACCGCCCCCGCCCCCCAAGATGGACGCAATGTCTCTGCCTATATGAGAAAAACACATTTATAAAACCACCAAGTTTTTGGAGTATGAACTGGAAGGGGGCACCAGCCAAGGCATTCCCCCCCCCCCCCCCGATCCCTCTCCAATGCAACGACAAGAGACGGGGGTTGCTCCCGTTGCAGGAGGTTCCCCCAGCTTGCAAAAGCTTCCAGCACGCCTCGAACACCCAGTCTTGCAGGGAGCAACGGGAGGAAGAGGAAGAAGACGGGGCATGCATTGCAACGGGGCATGCATTGCACAACTGGGATGACTGATCAGGACAAGGAAGGAAGGAAGAATGTTTGCAATCCCTCTGCAAGGAAGGAGAATTTTTAGCATAAAGCTGAATCAAAAAGCCGCCCAAGGTAGCGGGGACAAGATCAGAGAGAGAGGGAGGCGCCGGTACTCACCGCTCCCTCTAAGCTGTGCAGGGCCAGGCTGTCAGTCACGAGACCGACCCCCCCAGGGCGCGACGGGAAATGTAGTTCAAAGGACCCCCACACCCCCTTCGCCCTGTATAATAGGACGTGTAGTCCAAGCCAGGGCGGCACGGTCACGCCCCCGACGCTTCCTCGACGCCGCCGGGGCGCAAAGCGCGCTGGGGATTGTAGTCGTCCCAGCACGCTCCAGAAAGAGCGGAGGTGGAAGGGAAGGGGGCAGGAGCGCCTTGGAGGCGCAAAGCATCGTGGGCATTGTAGTCTTCGCCTTACGCTCTGGGAAGGGGGGCGGCGGCGGAAGGGAAGGCGGGGCGGGAGCGAGCGGCAGGCGCGTAATGAGGAGCGACGGTCTCCTAGCAACGCCGCCACCCTTGGGCGTGAGGCCTACAGGCGGCCTAGGCGGATGAGGCGCTGTCAGAGCCCGACACCTGGGTGTCCCCCCCCCCCGGCTTTCCACTTCATTTTCTGGGCCTGAGGGGGTAAAAATAAAACAAACACGAGGCCTCGAAAGGCCATTATAGCTTCTTTGCCTCCGTGGACTGACTGGAACGTGTAGGCGTTTAATTAAAACATCCCAATGGGGCCTCAGCCTGGGAGACAGAGAGAGAGAGAGGAGGTTTCCCCCTCCAATAAGACAGAATCGCCTCTCTTATTTCCACATTTGGTGGAAGTGCGAGAAGCTGACTAAATTTTGGAAATCGGTACAGAAACTAATAGTAGAAATAGATCTGAAGCTAGATCCAGAAATATATCTCCTTAATATGTTACCAGAAGGGATTAAATATAATGATTTGTGTGTGATATTGTATATTCTCACTAGTTCCAGAATTCTCTTGGCTAAATGTTGGAAATCAGAAAAAATATACCAGGTAGAGAAGAGTTAATTACAAAAATTATGGAAATTAAAGAAATTGATAAATTAAATATGATACTGTTGGCAAAAGATGAACATCTGTTTAAAAAGAGATGGCAGAAACTAGATAGATGGATGGAAAAAAAATGTGTAAAGAATCTCCAAAGGATACTTTGTATTAAGAATTTGTGTTTTGTAATTTTGTTTTGGAAAATTGATAAAATATTCAAAAAGAAGACAGAATCGCCTCATGGCCCGGAAGTTGCCAACCTCCAGGTGGGACCTGGGGAACTGGAATGGCAGCTGGTCTCCAGTCCAGACAGGGTTGCCAACCTCCAGGTGGAATCTGGAAATCTCCTGGGATGACAGCGGATCTCCAGGCGATCGAGATCAGTTTCCCCTGGAGGAAATGGCTGCTCTGGACCTTCCTAAAGCTGCCATTTTCTCCAGGTGCACTATCACCTGGAGATCACCTGTAACCAATGCTCCCTCTAAACTGTAGAGTCCTGTGAGCAAAAATGCTACTTTCTGAGCTACCAGCATTAAAATGGTCAGAAGGTGATTTGGCTGCTGCATAAATTAGTTTGATCTGGAGCCCCCCTTCCTGAGCGAAGGCAAAAATGTGTGAGTTGGGGGCTAAAAAACTGTGAGCTGGCTCACACTAACTCAGTTTAGAGGGAACACTGCCTGTAATCCAGGCAGACTACATTATACCCCCAGCATTATTTGCTTTGGAGGCTGGGCTCTGTGGCATTATACTCTGCTGAGGTCCCTCCCCTCCCTAAACCCCGCCCTTCTCAGCCTCCGCCCCCAAATCTCCAGGGATATCCGAAACCTGAGCTGGCAACCATATCTCCAGTCCAGAACACAGAAATAGGGTTTCCAGGTCTCCCTGCCCCACCACTTGGCAGGGGTTGGAGAGGGGAGGGTTGCCAGTTGGGAAAATCCTGGAGATTTGGAGTTGGAGCCTGGGGAGGACAGTGACCTCAGTGGGGGCACAATGCCACAGAGTCCCCCCTCCAAAGCAGTCATTTCCTCCAGAGGAACTGAGCTCTGTAGCCTGGAGATGAGCTGGAATTCCGGGGGATCCCCAGGCCCCACCTGGAGGCTGGCATCCCTGGATCTCAGTAAGTTACAAGGCCACAGAGTCCCCCCTCCAAAGCAGTCATTTCCTCCAGAGGAACTGAGCTCTGTAGCCTGGAGATGAGCTGGAATTCCAGGGCCTCAGTGGGGCACTATAATGCCATAGAGTCCCCCCTCCAGAGCAGCCCTTTCCTCCAGGGGAACTGATCTCTGTAGTCTGTAGCTGAGCTGTAATTCCGGGGGATCCCCAGGCCCCACCTGGAGGCTGGCATCCCTGGACCTCAGTGGGGCACAAGGCCACAGAGTCCCCCCTCCAAAGCAGCCATTTCCTCCAGGGGAACTGGTCTCTGTAGTCTGGAGATGAGCTGGAATTCCGGGGGATCCCCAGGCCCCACCTGGAGGCTGGCATCCCTGGACCTCAGTGGGGCACCAGGCCACAGAGCACACCCTCCAAAGCAGCCATTCTCTCCCGGGGAAACTGAGCTCTGCAGTCTGTAGACCAGCTGGAATTCCAGGACATCTACAGCCCCTCTGGCAGCCTTAACTGCTGATTTAAAATAGCCAACTAGTTGAGATGCATGATTCCTTTGTGTTATTTATTTGTTTGTTAGATTTCTATTCCGCCCTTGTGTGAATGCTCCTTTAATATCTGTAGGCATTTTACACAGCAGCGGGCACATTCGGACTCGTTTCAGGCTGTACTGTGACAAATACCAACAACAACAACAATAATGATAGTAATAATAATGATAGTAATAGTAATAATAGAGAGCCATTTGGTGTAGTGGTTAGGTGCGCGGACTCTAATCTGGGAGAACCGGGTTTGATTCCCCACTCCTCCACTTGCAGCTGCTAGTGTGACCTTGGGTCAGTCACAAGTTCTCTCAGAGCTGTTCTCTCAGGAGCAGTCCTCAAAAGAGCTCCCTTGGCCCCACCTACCTCACAGGGTGTCTGTTGTGGGGAGGGGGAGGGAAAGGAGTTTGTCAGCCGCTCTGAGACTCCTTTGGGTAGTGAAGGGCGGGGTATAAATCCAATCTCCTCTTCTTCTAGATCTTACAGACCTAGGGGCACCAGCTCTGGAGATTGTGTGTATAAACTAATAATTTGTTTTTAAATGGTTGTTCTTAACTGTTTTCAATTGTTTATTAATGTATTTATACTGTAATGCTGAATGGCTTTGTGATCCACCCGGAGCCCACTTGTGGGGCGGGCAGAATATACTAATAATAGCCAGGGCTTTTTTTGTAGAAAAAGCCCAGCAGGAACTCATTAGCATAATAGGCCACACCCAACAAAACTCATTAGCATATTAGGCCACACCCCTGACAGCACAGCTCATTTGCATATTAGGCCACACCCCCATGTTACCAGAAGTGTGCTCATCCAGCCACACCCACCTTTTGCTTCTTATTCTGTTTACCTTGTTTGTTGTCAAAACCCAGGGCCTTTTTTTGTAGCTGGAACTCCTTTGCATGTTAGGCCACACACCCCTCATGTAGCCAATCCTAATGAGTTTCTGCTGTTGGGTGTGGCCTATTATGCTAATGAGTTCCTGCTTAACTTGGGAGCCAGCCGGAACTCCGTTCCTGTGCGTTCCTGCCCAAAAATAGCCCTGTAATAATACTAATACTAATAATAATAATACTCCCAGTGTCTCAATTGTTATGCAGTGATTAGGGTTTATGTTCAGTCCCAGTTTTTATCAGTTGGCAAATAGATATTGGCGATCCAGGCTTCCGTTCTGAAATGCATCAGAAGCAACCAAATCTGCACAGAGGTGAGGAGAAAGATTGGACCAGGGTAGTGGTGGGGTCAAATCTTCCTAGCAAGCCCTGGAGAGAGTATGCCGAGGTTGCATCCACACATCCTTGGATATCGCCTCGGTTGCCAGTGCCAGGTTGGGAAATTCCTGGAGATTTGGAGGCGGAGCCCGGGGAGGGCGGGTCTTGAGAAGGGGGTGACCTCAATGGGGTACGATGCCACAGAGCCCACACTTCACCCTTCAAAGCAAATTCGTGGGCACTCCATGAAATTGCTGAGCGGTCGGGTTAGAACGGATAAAAGGAATTCCTTCTTCACCCAAAGAGTGATTAACACATGGGATTCACTGCCACAGGAGGTGGTGGCAGCTACAAGCATGGGTGGCTCCAAGAGGGATTTGGATAAACCTATGGAGCAGAGGTCCATCAGTGGCTATTAGCCACAAGGTATAGATAGGAACTCTCGGTCTGGGGCCAGGGATGCTCTGTATTCTTGGTGCTGGGGGGGGGGCAACAGTGGGAGGGCTTCTAGTGTCCTGGCCCCACTGATGGACTGTCAGCTACGCTGCCATGGGGGTTGGGGAGCTCGGTCTGTGTCTGGTTAATTGCTACTGCATTCCTTTCTGGTCTTTTTCTGCTTTGCGCCGAAATGCTTATCTATACAGATGTGCAGGAGGGAGTTGTATTGTCTGGGTTTCTCCTAGGTGCCGTGGGAGAGTGTTGGTTCTCAGCTTTAGCTACCTAACGGTCTCCAGGCTTTATCCCACGCGCGGGAGGGTGCCTAATTGGCCAGTGCTCTGGGGGGGGTGCCTTATTGGCCCGTGCTCTGGGGGGGGGGTGCATACGAAAACCCTATATCCTATTATGCCCATGGGGCCGCCGCCATTCTTAACAGTGCTTATGTTACTGCATCTATAGCTCTGCAATAAAAGTATTACCGTTCTTGAATGCGTGTACTTGGTTGTTGGCTGTGGGTTTTGACATGGACCTCCTGAGGGCACCTGGTGTTTTTGGCCACTGTGTGACACAGAGTGCTGGACTGGATGGGCCATTGCCCTAATCCAACACTGATGTCACTTATATTCTTATGTTCGTAACTGTTTCTTCCCCAGGGAACTGATCTCTGTTATCTGGAGATTCAGTTGTAATCGGGTCATTTCGTAGAAAAAGAGGTGCAGGAGCTCATTAGCATAACTTATTTGCCTATGCTACACCCCCTGACATCACTGGAAGTGTGTCAGAAGGCAACACCCACCGCTCAGACTCCACTGGACTGTTTTGGATCGCTAGCTATTGGGGGGGAACCCGCAGATCTGCCCTCACAGAGGAGGGAGAGCTTGTACCTGAATAAAACTTGGTCTTAAAGGTGCCACTGGACTGTTTTGGACCGGGGGGTGGCGGAGGGGGCTCTGCAACTTACCTGGCTGCTTCTTGCTCTGACTGAGGGCTGCTGGGAGCAGGGGGTGGGGCTTGTTGCATCTGCCCGCCCCCTGGGCTCTTTACTGCCGGAGCTCCGTTCCTGTGTGCTCCTGCAGGAAATGACCCCTGGTTGTAATTCTGGGAGAACTCCAGCACCCACTTGGAGGCTGGTCACCCTCGCTCATTCTGTTTCCAGTCCTCTCCAGTGGATGGAGTGTGTCGGGTGAGGGCAGGGTAGTCAGACATCCTTTTCCCCCAAAAGTTCGATTCCTGACAACCACAGGTCCCCAAGGCTCCCTGTGGAGGGAAGAAGGCCTCCCCCAGCTGACCCTTCATTCAGAGTCTCAGAGCGGCTTACAGTCTCCTTTCCCTCCCCCTCCCCACAACAGACACCTTGTGAGGTAGTTGGGGCTGAGAGGGCTCTTTCAAGGACCGCTCGTGAGAGAACAGCTCTGAGAGAACTTGTGACTGACCCAAGGTCACACCAGCAGCTTCATGTGGAAGAGTGGGGAATCAAACCCGGTTCTCCCAGATTAGAGCCCGTGCTCCTAACCACTACATCTCTCACCAAACTGGAGAGCAGAAGTGCCCTGGAAAAATTCCCCATGGACAGTTAGCCCCTTGAAAGCAGACAAGCTGGCACACCGAGGAGCTAATTATTATAATATCGGTTTGGAGGGTTGTCAACTCCGGGTTAGGAAATTTCTGGAGATTTGGGGGGGTGTCTCTGGGGAGGCTGGGTTTGGGGGCAGGGAGGGACCTCATCAGGGTATAATGCGATAGAGGTCACCTTGCAAAGCATCCGTTTTCTGCAGGGAAAATGATCTCAATACTCTGGAGCTTGGTCGTGATGCCAGGAGATTCCAAGGCCCGGAGACCGGTGGCCACCCTGTTTGGATCCTTCTGTAGGTAACATCCATGGCCTCTTGCTAAATGCAACTTGTGAGGAGCCTGTATTTAAAGGGGAAAGTTTTTAGAAAGGGAGTTTGGATTATAATAGATCCAGGGGGTCAGCCGTGTTGGTCTGAAGCAGAAATCCAGAGCCAGAGCCCAGGGGCACCTTTAAGACCAACAAAGGTTTATTCAAGGTATGAGCTTTCCTGTGCAAGGCATACTTTTTCAAATATGATGGAATGGTGTGTAAGGTGCAAACTTATAGACAGGGAAATTGACATGTAACATGTCAATTTGGCCAGTTTGGTGTAGTGGTTAAGTGGGCGGACTCTACTCTGGGAGAATGGGGTTTGATTCCCCACTCCTCCACATGCAGCTGGTGGCATGACCTTGGGTCAGTCACAATTTCTCTCAGAGCTGTTCTCTCAGGAGCAGTTCTCTCAAGAGCTCTCTCAGCTCGACCTCCCTCACAGGGTGTCTGTGGTGGGGAGGGAAAGGGAAAGGAGTTTGTGAGCCGCTCTGAGACTCCGTTGGGTAGTGAAGGGCAGGGTATAAATCCAATCTCCTCCTCCTCCTCCTCCTCCTCTTCTTCTTCTTCTTCTACTACTACTACTAGATAAGGACTTTGTATATCTTAAACATCATCATGTTACATGTTAATTTCCCTGTCTATAACTTTGAACTTTACACACCATTGTGACGTATTTGAAAAAATACACACAACCTTGCACACAAAAGCTCATACCTTGAATAAACCTTTGTTGGTCTGAAAGGTGCCCCTGGGACTCTGGTTTTGGATTATAATAGTTATATGAACCTTCGCATCTGTGAATGCAAATCAGTATACACGATTTTTGCACCCGTTTTGTCCTTTCCCCCATCTTTTGCCCTCTTTTTTGAGGGTTCTCGTCCTCCTTTTTAATCATTCCTAGAGGGTCACCCTAGCCTCCGTGCCCCCCCCCCGTCGCACTCGAACCATTGACAACACTGCCCTTCCCTGGGCCTAGCCGGCCTGGCTAACCGGGATCTCCCCGGCGCTTCACATTCAGTGACCTAACCAGCTGTGAGCTCCCTCCTCCCTGCCTCCCTGCGCTGCCCTTTAAAGTAGGCAATCTGCCTTAATCCTCAACCGAGCGAGGGAACGAAGCAGGGAAAGCGACAGACAGCGAGAGGGAGCGTAAAAAAACGGACACAGATTCCCCGCAGAGGGACCCCCGGGGGTGCAAACGACAGTACAACAGAGCGGGACGGGAAGAGGGGCTGGCAAGACTCCGAGTCCGGCCCCTGCCCTTCCATGAGAGCCCTTGGGATTAGTTTGGCCCTTCCTCCGGGTCACGGGAGAGAGGCCGGAAGAATGAGGGGTCCCCCTCGCGAGGTGGGAAGAGACTTGGGCTGAAGAAGCGCCTGGTGCCTTCTGGAGACTGACGCCACCCTCCTGCCACTGTCCTGCGACATGGAGTGCAACGGAAGACGTGAGTGACCCCATATTCGTGCGCCCGGGCTAACGGGTAGGGGCAAACCGTCGGGAGATAAGAGCTTCGGTATATCTTAGGGGGCTCGTTCAGAGGATAACAGGGGGGGAATAAGTTAATAATAAGGCGAGGCACTGAGGCAAGTCCAGTTGCGAAGGGTGTTAGTTGGAGATAGGTGATCCAGAGTTCAGCTATTTAGAACAGTGGACGACGCTGGTCATGCCAGGCTCTTAGAGATAGGCATAGGATGTACGGTTGCCAGCCTCCAGGTGGGACCTGGGGACCCCCGGGAATGACAGCACGTCCCCAGAGATCAGTTCCCCCTGGAGAAAATGGCTGCTTTGGAGGGTGGACTCTATGGCACTGGACCCCACTGCGGTGTGAGGTCCCTGTCTTCCCCGGGGGTCCATCCCCACATTATCCAGGAGCTTCCCACACTGGATCTGGCAACCCTACCTCCCCATCGCCTGCCGGCGGCCGGGAGGAACCTGTCGACCCTAAGTTGGGATGCCATTGCGTCTAGGTCTGAAAAGAGGTTAGGAGACAGGGCTGGAGGGTTTGGAACACTGAATGATAACCAGTCCTAGATAGACGGGTACGGATTTGCTGCTAAAGTCAGACTGGGTGCCTTTGGGGTCTTACTGCAAAGGAGGCCGGGTCAATTGTAAAGGGCTGAGCCGGCGCTAGAGGTCCGAGGAGGGTTTAACTTTGGCCTCAGTTCACGGAGGCCTCAGCCTGGCCTCTGACTTGCGACAGTCTCTTGCTCCGGAGCGTGCTCTGTCATGTTTTTATGCTCGCCAGCTCTTGTCTTTTTAAGAGTTCAGCGAGTGGAGTTTTGTGAGTGTTATGTGCAGTTTATTCACTTCCAACTTATGGCGACTCTACGAATCAGTGACCTACAAAACACGAAACAGTCTGTCTCGGGTCTTGCAAGCTGAGGGCGGCCGGGGCCTCCTCAGTTGAGTCCACCCGTCTCCTGTTGGGTTTCCCACTTTCCCTGCTGCCTTCCACTTTTCTTGGCGTCATTGTCTTGTCCGGTGAGTCTTGTCTTCCTACGATGTGACCCAAAAAGTTGGAGTTTTCGGGGAGGGTAACTTTACACGTTCCCACCTCCGTCTGGACTGAGAAACGGAGCAGGAAGCATCTGGTAACGGCCTCGACGCCGGTTTCCCCCCCTCCCTGTCCCATAGCGGCCGGCAGTCCCGAGACACCGCCACGTTCTGCGGCCGAGGCTTTTGTGGAGGCCACGGGCCAGGCCCTGGCCTGGACGCTCACCAACGGGGGCACGGACACTTTGGGCTCGACGGGCAGTGGCGGGCAGAGGAAGCGTCTCCAGCACAACAAACACAAGACCCAGGGCACCAACGTGGTCCACCGCTCGCCCCGAGCGCTCTTCTGCCTCAAGTTGAACAACCCCATTCGCCGGGCCGCCATCAGCATCGTGGAATGGAAGCATCCTTTGCCCGTCAGGAGCGGGTCGGCTGGGGGGGGGAGGGCGGTTTTGGATGTCCGCCGGCTTGGGGAGGGGGAAGGAGAAGGAGATTCCAGTAGGGTTCCTTAACCGGGCTCGTTCCAGACCCTTTGACATCCTGATCCTCATGACCATCTTTGCCAACTGCGTGGCCTTAGGGGTCTATATCCCTTTTCCGGAGGACGACTCCAACGTCGCCAACCACAACTTGGTAAGTGCCTTTCCGAAAGCCGCGGATGGACAGAGAGGGGAAGGGGGGGGAGGTCTAGCTCCATAGCCAAATGTATTCTTTGAACGTATGAAGTCCCAAACTCAGTTGCTGGCATCTCCAGTTCGAAAGACCACAAACGACAGGGGAAAGGGGAAATATCTGCCTGAGGCCTTGGATTAGGCCTTGGAGGCCTGCTGTGGTCAGATTGGATCAGTGATAACTCAGTGCCAGTGATAGTCAGTGGATTGGGAGCCGCATATGGCTCCTTGACATGCCACCAGTGGCTATTCTGACCACCCAGTGTAGCACCTGCCTCATGTTTCAGGAAAGTGGGCAAGCAGGGTTTCCAGCTTCCAGGTGGGGCCTGGAGATCTTCCGCTTTTACAACTACTTTCCAGCTGATAGAGATCATCTCCCCGGAGAAAATGGCTGGTTTGAAGGGTGGACTCTATGGCATGGTACCTTGCTAATGTCCCTCCCCTCCCCAAACGCCACCCTCTTCTGGATCCACCCCCAAAGTCTCCAGGTATTTCCCAACCCAAACCTGGCAACCCTATGGACAAGACTCTTGCTTAGGGAACCAGTTTGGTGTAGTGGTTAGGAGCACGTACTGTAATCTGGGAGAACCGGGTTGGATTCCCCCACGCCTCCACATGCAGCCAGCTGGTGTGACCTTGGGTCAGTCACAAGTTCTCACAGAGCTGTCAGTCATGGCTCTCTCAGAGCTCTCTCAGCCCCACTTACCTCACAGGGTGTCTGTTGTGAGGAGGGGAAGGGAAAGGAGATTATAAAATGCTCTGAGACTCCTTTGGGTAGTGAAGGGTGGGGTATAAATCCAATCTCTTCTCCCTCCTTCTCTAGAGGGGCACGGAGCTAGCATAAGAATATAAGAAAAGCCAATGGCCCATCTAGTCCAACTCTCTGTCACTCAGTGGCCAAAAACACCAGGTGCCATCAGGTGGTCCAGCAGTGGGGCCAGGACATTAGAAGGCCTCCCACTGTTGCCCAACCCCCCAAGCACCAAGAATACAGAGCATCCCTTGCCCCAGACTGAGAGTTTCTAACTATACCTTGTGGCTAACAGCCACTGATGGACCTCTGCTCCATGTGCTTATCCTATTCCCTCTTGAAGCTGTCCATGCTTGTAGCCGCCACCACCTCCTGTGGCAGTGAATTCCATGTGTTAATCACTCTTTGGGTTCCCTGAGGAGCAGGCCACATGCCAGGGAGGAAAAGAAATGGTTAATCATAGTTGCAAATCTCACATTGCTGGGGACTAGGTGAACTGGTATTCTGACGCCATAAAAGACAGCACTATCGATAAGATTCTTAACATGGTCCCATTTGTGGATACTTAAATCTGGAGAGTAGAGCTGTGGTCAGACAAGCCAGGTCTTCCTACAAACCTGAGAAAAGACCCAGGTTTCCAGAAAAATCTGAAATCCATACACATACATGTGTAGGCGTGTGTAAAATAAAAGCGCTTACAGCTTTAAGAAACAAATGCCCTCACTGGCCGTTGCTAGGCAACCACAACAGTATTGCCAGCCTTCAAGCCTTTGTTTCTCTCACTGAAAGGCAGGCAAGGACAGGGGCCTGGGCCCCTTCCAGGGCTGTTTTGGCCTTTAAGGAAGGACTTGCATTCCTCTGATCCCAAAAATCCTGTCTCCCTTAGCTGTAACCCGCTGCATCCCATTTTCTTTCCAAAGAACCCAGGAGTCCTGTCTCACAGTTGCTGCTGCTTCTTCTAGGCCACCAAGTCCTTTGCTACAGCCTCCTCCTCTCTCAGCGATTCCATCTTTACCTCTTGATTTCTGCCAAAAGAAACGCTTTAATGCTAATTAAATCTATTATCTCTTAATAACCATTAAGCCACCACCTGACTGGGGGCAAATGAGGCAACAGTCTCTCCCCCCCACCCCAGCCAGTTTGTCTCCGGTGACTAATGGGAGGGTCTCGCAACGGTTCCCCTCCAAATCTGAAGTCATCGGCTGATTGCGGTTGGGGTCAGGGCTGCACTTTGATCTCAGCTTCCCGGGAGTAAATCCAGAATAATCCCTTGACTAAAACTGGAGCTTGGCCAGTTTCTGATCCCTGCTCTCCCTTCCAGGGTAAAACCAGACACACTTTACCCCAGAGGGGTCAGGGACAGACCTGGATCTCATTTCTCTTTTTTGTCTTGCTCTTAGTACCCGATTTAAACTTTGAAAGTTGCACAGTTCATAAACCACACAAACCAGGCGTGGGTGGATGAAGAGTAGTGTTTTAGAAGAGAAGAAGAGGAGACTGGATTTATACCCTGCCCTTCACTCGGAGTCTCAAAGCGGCTTACAAACTCCTTCCCCTCCCTATAAAAGACACCCTGTGAGGGTAGGTGGGGCTGAGAGAGCTCTGAGAGAACTGCCCTTGAGAGAACAGCTCTGACAGAACTATGGCTTGCCCAAGGTCATCCAGCAGCTGCAAGCGGAGGAGTGGGGAATCAAACCCGGTTCTCCCAGATTAGAGTCTGCGCAGTTGACCACTGCACCAGACTGGCTCTTTTATGGCTTATAACAGCAGGGTGGCGGGTCCAGGATTCCTGGGGTTTTATTCTCAGTACAGGAGATATGGTTGCCAACTCTGGGGTGGGGAAATTCCTGGAGATTTAGGGGTGGAGCCTGAGGAGGGCGGGGTTTTGAGAGGGGAGGGACCCCAGAGGGGTATAATAGCATGGAGTTTGGACCGCCAACCTCCAGGTGGGGCCCGAAGATCTCCTGCTTTTACAACTGACCTCCAGCTGACAGAGATCAGTTCCCCTGGAGAAAATGGCTGCTTTGGACGGTGGACTCAGTGGCATTGTACCCCGGCTGAGGCCCCTCCCCCTCCCCAAACCACGCCCTCCACAGGCTCCACCCCCAAATCTCCAGTTATTTCCCAATCCAGAGTCGGCAACCATAAGAACATAAGAACATAAGAGAGCACCGTACTTGGAGTCCACTCTCCAAAATTCCACAAGAAGAAGCATGTGCACATATAGAAGAAGAAGAGATTGGATTTATACCCCGCCCTTCACTTGGAGTCTCAGAGCGGCTTACAAACTCCTCTCCCTTCCCCTCCCCACAACAGACACCCTGTGAGGTAAAAGAAGAAGAAGAGGAGATTGGAGTTATACCCCGCCCTTCACTACCCAAAGGACTCTCAGAGCGACTTACAGATTCCTTTCCCTTCCCCTCCCCACCACAGACACCCTGTGAGGTAAAAGAAGAAGAAGAGATTGGATTTATCCCCCGCCCTTCACTACCCAAAGGTGTCTCAGAGTGGCTTACAAACTCCTTTCCCTTCCCCTCCCCACCACAGACACCCTGTGAGGTAAAAGAAGAAGAAGAGATTGGATTTATCCCCCGCCCTTCACTACCCAAAGGTGTCTCAGAGTGGCTCACAAACTCCTTTCCCTTCCCATCCCCACAACAGACACCCTGTGAGGTGGGTGGGGCTGAGAGAACTCTGACACAAACTGCTTTTTTTCAAAGAGAGCTTTGTGACTGACCCAAGGTCACATCAGCAGGTGCAAGTGGAGGAGTGGGGAATCAAACCCGGACACTTAACCACTACACCAAACTGGCTTTTATTTGTATGACTCCTCATCATTTTATATAGACTTGACTTTCTAGACTTACCTAAGATCCCTTAGATTGTTCTATTTTGTAAATATTTGTAAGGTTTTAGGACTAAACATATATGTATATATATTTGCGCTAGAACCAATTCCTACAGTTTTTATAAGAATGTGTTCTTACGACGAATGGCCTTTAACCGCAAATAAACATTCATTCATTCACCCTCCCCAGCAGCCGTTTTCTCCAAGGGGACTGATCTGTGTCACCTGGCGAGCAGCTATAATTCCAGGATATCTCCAGGCCTCACCAGGAGCTTGGCAACCGGAGAGGAGAGGCAGGCATAGACGGAAGGAAAGGGGCTCACTGTGTGATGCAAATGAATCCACTGACTTTTAGCAGTCTTAGAAGGATGTGACCCCGTTTTTTAGGCTTGCACTTTTTACCAGCTCTTCAGAGAACAGCAGGGGAGGATCTATCAACTAGGATGCCTGGGTTCTGCATGCAGACTCTATCAGTCTTTCCTTCTCTCTCTCTCTCTCTGTGCATGTCTGCCCAACGCTACATGCCATCATGCATGTACACACTTGCTTACCAGTGTGCATAGGTGTGCACCGCTGTGCTTGCAGCTGGGGTGTGTGCCCGTGTCGTCCTCCCGGCTGTCTGCCCCGTTGGCACGTCTGTTTGCGTGCCGCTCCGGTTTTCTATGCCGGCTCCGTAAGCAGCTCATGCCGGTTTTGAACAGAGAGGGTGCTAATCCGGAGAAATCCTCGCCTGTTCCCTTTCGCGGGGGGTTTGCAGCCACTGTCTCCGTAGTTCCAGAGGGCAGCCGTGTTGGACTGTGGTTGAACAGTTACATCTGGGTTCAGTGGCACCCTAGAGATCAACGAGACAAAGGGAGCTTTGACTCTCGAAAACCAGTTTGGTGTCGTGGTTTTAAGTGCGCGGACTCTAATCTGGGAGGACCGGGTTTGATTCCCCACTCCTCCACTTGCACCTGGCTGGATGACCTCAGGGAAGCCATAGTTCTGTCAGAGCTGTCCTTAAAAGAGCAGTTTCTGTCAGAGCTCTCTCAGCCCCACCTGCCTCACAGGGTGTCTGTTGTGGGGAGGGGAAGGGAAAGGAGTTTGTAAACCGCTCTGAGACTCCTTTGGGTAGTGAAGGGCAGGGTATAAATCCAATCTCCTCTTCTTCTTCTTCTTTTACCTCACAGGGTGTCTGTTGTGGAGAGGGAAAGGGAAAGGAGTTTGTGAGCCGCTCTGAGACTCCTTTGGGTAGTGAAGGGCAGGGTATAAATCCAATCTCTTCTCCTTCTTCTTTTACCTCACAGGGTGTCTGTTGTGGGGAGGGGAAGGGAAAGAAGTTTGTAAGCCACTCTGAGACTCCTTTAGGTAGTGAAGGGTGGGGTATGAATCCAATCTCTTCTTCTTCTTCTTTTACTTCACAAGGTGTCTGTGATGGGGAGGGGAAGGGGAAGGGAGAGGAGTTTGTAAGCCGCTCTGAGACTCCTTTGGGTAGTAAAGGGCGGGGTATGAATCCAATCTCTTCTTCTTCTTCTTCTTCTTCTTTTACCTCCCAGGGTGTCTGTCATGGGGAGGGGAAGGGAAAGGAGTCTGTAAGCCGCTCTGAGACTCCTTTGGGTAGTGAAGGGCGGGGTATAAATCCAATCTCTTCTTCTTCTTTTACCTCTCAGGGTGTCTGTTGTGGGGAGGGGGAGGGAAAGGAGTTTGTGAGCCGCTCTGAGACTCCCTTGGGTAGTGAAGGGCGGGGTATGAATCCAATCTCTTCTTCTTTTTCCTCTCAGGGTGTCTGTTGTGAGGAGGGGAAGGGAGAGGAATTTGTAAGCTGCTTTGAGACTCCGAGTGATGAGCGGGGTATAAATCCAATCTCCTCCTCTTCCTCTTCCTCTTCCTCTTCCTCTTCCTCTTCCTCTTCCTCCTCCTCCTCCTCCTCCTCCTCCTCCTCCTCCTCCTCTTCTTCTTCCACTCCAAAACGCTTGCTAGTTCCCAAGGTGCGTCTGGACTCAAATCTAACTCAGATCTAGCGGTTAGCTTTCCAGAAGGGGAACGGTTGACCTTCAGTCCCGTAGCAAGGATTTTGTGGCAATTTTTCCCCCCTGGTGGGGCTGCCATTATTTGCCATTATGAAGGGGGTGGTGGCATACACCCCTCTCCCTCCCTCCCTCCAAGATTTAAAGGGCCCTTCAGCTGATCCGCGGGGAGCACGTGGCCCGCGGATCAGCTGGAGGGCCCTTTAAATCTTGCAGGAGGGAAGGAGAGGGGTGTGCGCCACCCCCCGCTTCTTCTCAGAAGCATATAAAGGATAGCTTTGAATGCTTTTGGAAGAAATGGGGGGGCCTTTATGGGAGGGTCGGGCTCTTTAAGGAAGGGGGCAGAGCCCCCAATAGCCCTGCCGTAGCTATGGGCCGGTTGACCTTTCATATGGAGGTCTTTAGAATCACCCTGATTTTGGAGCGCTTGATGATAAGATCTGGATTCGAATCCAAAACAAAAGGGAGTGTTTCCCAGAGCAGGAAAAAAAGCAAAGGCCTTGGGGCATCTGCCCATCTTCCTTCCAACCCCGCAGGAGCAAGTGGAGTACGTCTTTCTCATCATATTCACGGTGGAGACTTTCCTCAAGATCCTCGCCTACGGTCTGGTCATGCATCCCAGTGCCTACATCCGCAACGGCTGGAACCTTCTTGACTTTGTCATCGTTGTTGTGGGGTGAGTTTTTAACGTGGCGAAAAGGCGTGGACGTAAACCACTCTGAAAGGTTGCTTGTTTTTCACTTCCGTTTTCCCTGGGGTGGACCGTTTGCTGGGGAGTGCAGGCAAGGGAGACAGTTTAGGGCAAGGGTCCCCAACCTTTTTGAGCGTGTGGGCACCTTTGGAATTCTAAAGGTAGTGGGCACATCCACAAAATGGCTGCTCCAGGAGGTGGAGTTAGGCACAAAATGGCCGCAGCAGCAGCTTACTGTCAGTCACACAGCGAAGATACTGTGGTGGAAGCTACTGCCGAAGGAACTTCTTTTAAAATCTGCACACAGCCAATCGAATCTCCAGTGGCAGATGAGAAGTCTTGCTGGGCCAAAGCCCCACTTTGTCCCACCCACTTAAAAAAAAATTATTGGCGGGCACCAACCGTGAGTTGCCGAGTCTAAAATGCTTAGCGGGCACTGACTCGCGGGTTGCCAGTTTTGGGTGGGGAGGGGGGGGCTGGGGAGGGACCTCAGCAAGGTAACGTGGCTGTAGATCCACCCTCCAAAATGCAGCCATTCAGGGCTTTTTTTGTAGATAAAACCCAGCAGGAACTCATTAGCATAATAGGCCACACCCAACAACAGAAGCTCATTAGCATATTAGGCCACACCCCTGACAGCACAGCTCATTAGCACTTTAGGCCACACCCCCATGTTACCAGAAGTGTGGTCATCCAGCCACACCCACCTTTTGCTTCTTATTCTGTTTACCTTGTTTGTTGTCCAAACCCAGGGCCTTTTTTTGTAGCAGGAACTCCTTTGCATGTTAGGCCACACGCCCCTAATGTCGCCAATCCTAATGAGTTTCTGCTGTTGGGTGTGGCCTATTATGCTAATGAGGTCCTGCTGGGCGTGGCCAACTTGGGAGCTAGCCGGAACTCCGTTCCTGTGCGTTCCTGTCCAAAAATAGCCCTGCAGCCATTCTTTCCAGAGGGACTGATCTTGTTTTTATCCACTGGGCTGTAGAAATCCATCTGTTGAAGCTAGTCCAGTTCCTCTTGGCCTGCACATTTCAGAACTGGACAGATGCCATACTGTTACCTGCAAGTGTATGTTCCCCCCCCCCCCTTGGTGTTTGCCTTCTCTGTAGCGAACCCGTGTAAAACTCTTGAACTATTAGGCCCTGTTGAAGACGTTTTCACCCTAAGCATGTGCACCCCATGATGTGAGAAATTCACCTAGGATTGCCAGCTCCAGGCTGAGAAATCCCTAGAGATTTGGAGGTGAACCCAGGGGAGGGGCAGGGTTTGGGGAGGAGGGACTTCAGTGGGGTATAAATGGCCACCCTGCAGAGCAGAGAACTAGGGTTGCCAAGTTCCCCACGGGGGGCGGGGAAACCCCCGCTCGAGAGGCCCGTTCCCTGCCGGCCTGGATTGGGTCGCCGGGGGGAACCCCACCCCCCCAAGTGCCTGACGCGATGACGCCACATCGCATCGGGCACATTGCGGGGGGACGCTCAATTATTCGAGGGAAAACTCTATGGTTTCCCCTCGAATGATTGTGGCCCCGCCCCTGACGTGATGACGTTACTTCCTGTGGCGTCATTGCAGCATGCGCGCTAGAGGACTCCCAGCAAGGTCCTGGAGTCCCCCCGCTAAAGCCAAGGTAAGACTTGGCAACCCTTTGTTGTTCGGTCGCACAGTCGAGTCCGACTCTTTGCGACCCCATGGACCAGATCACGCCAGGCCTTCCGGTCTTCCGCCGTCCTCTGAAGATGGCTCAACTTTATGTTCGTTGCATCTATGACACTGTCTAACCATCTCATCCTTTGCCGTCCTTGTCTTCTTTGACCTTCAATCTTTCCCAGCATCAGGGTCTTCTCCAGGTAGTGCTCCCTTCTCATTGGGTGGCCAAAGTAGTTTCATTATCTGGCCTTCCAGGGAACAGTCAGGGTTGATTTCTTTTACGAGAGAACAAATGTAAAGAAAACAGTCCTGAGAGTCTGACCCACAGATCAAGCCGTCAACAAGACTTGCAAAGAAGATGCTTTCTGTCTGTTATGGTCAACAAGCACTACAACACAATAAACAAATTCCTTCAAATCATACGAAAATCCTAGTGTGAAAATACATCATCAGTGTCGTCTCCGGATTATATAACGATGTTTCAGAATTGGATCTTCCTCAGGAAATAGTAGAGTAGTACAAAAGCTCTCTTGCTCATAAAATGCTTTACAAGAAATCAGGAAAGATAATACATTTAGACAGAACACTGATCTCAATAAGTATTCAGGCTCAAATATGCTGCTAAGCTTCTAATGGATCCCAGACTCTCACGACCGTTTTCTTTACATTTGTTCTCTGATTAGGTCGTGATTGTTCACATTCACCCTTCAGAGCAGCCATTTTCTCCAGGTGAACTGATTTCTATAGTTGTCATTCCAGGAGATCCCTAGGCCCCACCTAGAGTTTGACAAGCCTGGATTCACTCCAAAACCTCAAAGGATCCTGGGTGGCCTCTTTTAGCATCCTTTTTATGTGGAACAGCAGTGTGGCACTTGGAGGGAGACCTGGAATCAGACCTCTTGCCAGCCAGGAAATTCAGCCTGGGCCATTTTCTTTCAGTCTGACCAACATCACAAGATTTTTTGTTTTGTTTTGCTTGTTTGTTGTTGTTGTCTTTTTGGACAGGACAAAATGGGATGGCTTCATAAATTACTACTCTGTTCTTGGGGAGGAAGGGGAGGATGGAAATATAATAAATAAAAATTAAATCTTGGAGGAGAGGAAGCTGGCTGGTGTCGCCCTTGGGAGGACAAAAGGTATTTTTGTATGTGCTCAGAGACTCTGGACTTTTCCGTGTTCTCGTTTTCCTTGCTTATATGCTCTGAGCCAGTTTGGTGTAGTGGTTAAGTGGTTAAGTGTAGTGCTTAAGTGTGCGGACTCTAATCTGGGAGAACCGAGTTTGATTCCCCCACTCCTCCACTTGCACCTGGCTGGATGACCTTGGGCAAGCCATAATTCTGGCACAGCTGTTCTTGAAAAAGAGCAGTCTCTGTCAGAGTTCTCTCAGCCCCACCCACCTCACAGGGTGTCTGTTATGGGCAGGGGAAGGGAAAGGAGTTTGTAAGCCGCTCTGAGACACCTTTGGGTAGTGTAGGGCGGGATATAAATCCAATTTCTTCTTCTTGTTGTTGCTTCGGTGGTTTTTGTTCCCCTTTTTTGCACACGTTTTGCTCCCTCTAGTGGTCGATTCGATATTACATCGCATTATGTCCAATTCCGGACATAAAGCGATGTAATGTCGAATCAACCACTAGAGGGAGCAAAGCATGCGCGAACAGAAAAAACACACACCAAAGCAACGGGAACATACAAGCAACAAAACCGAGAACATGGAAGAGCCCACTGTTTTTATTATCGTTTCAGGGGACAAGCTGTGTTGGTCTGCAGGAGAACAGCTAGGCTGGAGTTCAGTATCACCTTCGAGATCGACGAGTTTTTTTTGTGGCATCAGCTTTCGAGAGTCAAAGCTCCCAGAGCATCTGCCTGAAGGAGCGTCGACTCTTGAAAGGTCATCCCCAGAAAACCTTGTTGGTCTTTAAGATGCTGCTGTCCTTGAACTCCAGCTGCAGCTTGTGAGCTTCCCAGAAGCGGTTCACTATTAGAGGTAGCACTCTGGACTGATCTAGCAGGGCAGCTTGGACTGGAATGGAACCCCCATGTCCAGAAATAGTCTATCTTTGGATAACAGATGCTGAGATTAAAACAAGAGTGAGAAGGCCACTGGATATCCGAGGGCCGCCAGAGTCACCTGGTGAGCTGCTGTTGGAAACAGGAATGCTGGACTAAAATCATAGAGTTGGAAGGGACCTCCAGGGTCATCTAGTCCAACCCCTAGATGAATCTGTTGGTCCGATCCTGCAGGGCTGTTAGCTCCCCTTCACTGACAGCTTTCAAGAAGAGGCTGGACGAGTATTTGTCAGAGATGCTTTCGGCTGGTCCTGCACTGGGCAGGGGGTTGGACTAGATGGGCTGTATGGCCCCTCCCAACTCTATGATTCTATCATTCTTCCAAGGCCCGTCCAACACTTTGAGGGTAGGGGTAATGGCCGCAGGTCTAAAACCCGGTTAGTTCTCTTCTGCTTGTACCTGGGTGCGTACCACACTTCTTGGGAGGAACGACCTCGTCCTCTTATTTCCCCACAGGCTGTTCAGTGTGATTTTGGAGCAAGTTTCCCACAAGCCCGGGGAGGCCCATCATATGAGTGGAAAGCCTGGTGGATTTGATGTCAAGGCTCTAAGGGCGTTCCGTGTTCTGCGACCCCTGCGCCTCGTATCCGGTGTCCCCAGTAAGTTTCTCTGTCTCTCGTCTTTAACATTTTTCATTTCGGTTTTATTTCTTAAAGCATACCCCACCGTTTCTCATGGCTCAAGCCGGCTTACGACAATACACGCATGCACACGTAGTCTCGGGTTGCCAGCTCTGGGTGGGGAAATACTTGGAGATTTGGGGGTGGAGACCAGGAATTAAGGGGTTTGGGGAGGGACCTCAGCAGGGTATATTCAATGCCACAGAGTCCACCCCCCTAAAGCAGCCATTTTCTCCAGGGGAATGGATCTCCGCAGTCCGGAGTTGAGCTGTAATTCCATGGGATCCCCAGGTCCCACCTGGAGGGTGGCAACCCAACATGTAGGATAGTGATTTCTGTCATCTAGAGATCAATTGTAATAGCAAGAGATCTCCAGCCACCACTTGGAGGTTGATGAGTAACAACAATGGAAATGCAGTGATTTGTAAATTGCAGCCCCCAAAAAACAAACCCAACAGCTCAAAGACTGGAGTAAAAATTACTCTCCCAATAAAATACTTGCATATTAAGGCAACCAGGGGTCATTTCCTGCGGGAGCGCACAGGAGCGGAGCTCTGGTAGTAAGGAGCCAAGGGGGCGGGCACATGCAACAAGCCCCGCCCCCTGCTCCCAGCAGCCCTCAGTTGGGCCACGAGGAGCAAGAAGCAACCAGGTAAATTGCAGAGCCCCCCCGGCCTGCCTTCAGGTACCAGCTCTCCCTCCTCTGTGAGGGCAGATCTGCACGTTCCCCCACCCCAATGAGCTCCTGCACCTCTTTTTCTACGAAATGACCCCTGAAGGCAACACATTAAAGCAGGGGGTGTCCAAACTTGCTTCACGTAAGAGCCACATAGAATAAACGTCAGATGTTTGGGAGCTGCAAGACATGAAGAAATATTACATGTTTTTACTGGGAAATATGCAGGTTTGCTTTTTATTAACATTAAACGAGACTGCCAAAAATAATAACAAAAGCGGTAAAAAGCAGATATCGGTAATGATATTTATTTGACTGGTGATATTTGTTCGCTAGTGATATTCAGCTTCCCCAGCCGTCCTGCTGGGAGCCGCACAATAGGTGTGAAAGAGCCGCATGCGGCTCCCGAGCCACCGTCTGGCCACCCCTGCATTAATACGGAGAACAAGAAGAACTGTGAGAAAGTGACGCTTAAAATATGTCTTTAAAGAATCATAGAAAAGGGAACAAAAATAATATACATAATCATAGAAAAATATATATTGACGGTGATCTCCGGAATGTTCAAAGAAGATTTTCAATCTATTATACATTACAGCTGGTATGATTATTGAAAATCTTCTTTGATAATTGTGAGACGTCACCAGAGGATTTGAACTATTGAGAGACAGTTTTTGTCCCACATCTTTGTTCAGAAGAAGATCTTCCTTTGAAACGGCAAGACATTCCGGAGATCACCGTCGATATATATTTTTCTATGATTATGTATATTATTTTTGTTCACTTTTCTATGATTCTTTAAAGACATATATTAAGCGTCACTTTCTCACAGTTCTTCTTGTTCTCCGTATTATCTCATTACTGTGCCAATCAATTGTTATTACACCCCTGCATTAAAGCAACACATTAATATGCAGTCTCACAGCAACGGACCCCGATTGGTGCTCGTTTCCCTCAGCTTCATCAGGTCGCGCTCTGTCAGGTGCTGCACATAAAGTCACGTCTTTTTTATAAACATATATTTTAAAAATGATTTTTCTAAGTTTGAAAAGAGAAATCCGGGTATGTTATAAACTTACCCCTGAAGCTCATCCAACTATTTATCCCACTGATTCTGGTATATTCCAACTGGCTTCTAGACAGGTTCCCACTATTATGGACTGTCTCCTCAGGTACAGGAGCTGCCAGTTTATTCTATGTGTGAGCAATGTTCCCTCTAAGATGAGTTAGTGTGAGCTGGCTCACAGTTTTTTAGCCTCCGGCTCACACATTTTTTTCTTAGCTCAGGGAGGAGGACTCCAGATTGACTGTATTAAAAGGAGAACTCTTTCTTAAACATCAACAAACCCCAACCAAACAAAGAAATGGAGCAGAGAAAGGGAAGGCAACGGAAAAAAACAGTGAACAACAGAAATCCGATACGGAGAGTTCATCTTCTACAGATACTTCCGTGTCTTTGGGTGAAATTTTTGACTCTGACTCTGATTCCGACCTAGGAGTAGCTGCTCCTAAATCCTTTAAAGTAAATCTCCCCTGGCAAAAGAAGAAAAGTAAAGCTAAGAAGAAACCAAAGTGAAGATCTAAGACTGTCTATGCTGACATTTAATGAACTCGTAGTATCCAGATGTGATTTCATACCAAAAATTTCTTTATGTCTTTTCTATTGGAACACTTTTATTACAATTTAAAGATTTGAATATAATTCTCTAGCATGTAGATATATATCCAACGCGTATGAATAGCTTATCCAAGTGCCTTGTTACTCTCTTTTGTAGTTTCAGTTATGTAGTTTTAGTTTTGTAGTGTATAGTAAGAAAATCAAAAATTTTATAAAAAAAAAAAAGGAAGGAGGGCTCCAGAGCAAACTAATTTATTGCAGTAGCCAAATCACTTGCCAGTAGGATTTTTGCTCACAAGACTCCACAGCTCAGAGGGAGCATTGCGTGTGAGGACACAAGAATGCTCCATTTATAGTTCAAAAAGATGTGACTTTATGTGCAGCACCTGACAGATTGTGACCTGATGAAGGTGAGCGAAACAAGCACCACCTGGAGGTTGGCAACTCTAACAGACACACTGGCTTTCTTCAAGGGAAGGACTAGATATCCGGAGCTGCTGTTTCTGAACTGTATTTTTCCCGAGCCAAGAATGCTAGGGGGAATATCCCAAAGTTTTGTGTTCCGATGTCACGAGATTTCATTCCTCTGCTTTTGCAAGGGGCAAACTTGGGTCGTTGTATCCCGGACAGTGGGCCTTCTCTTGTTCTCCTACAAAGGATCAAAATGAGCTCATGGTGAAGCGATGTACGCTAATAGGATCTGAGCAGGCTGTGACTAACCGGGGAAGAGATCACGGGGTCAGGGTGGATAGCTGAGTGGAAATGTCAGCTCTCGGATGGTGGTGGCAGTGGTTTAAAAAACAAAAACAAAAAGGCAAATTCCATTCTAGAGAGCTAGAGAAATTCAGCCAGTGTCATAACGCTGTCGTACAAATCAATGCCGCAGTTGTATTTTTGGACACTGTGTCCGTTTGGGTCGTCCCTTCTCAAAAAGAATAACGTAGAAGCAGAAAAATGCAACCAGAGACAATCAAAGGATTAGAGCGCCTTCCGTGTGAGAAAAGGCTAAAAATTTGGACTTCCTATTCTCAAGTGGTTAAGACGCTGAACTGCAGGCTGTGGAAGGTCAGTAGTTCAGCAGTTCGAGACCCGGGTGCCGCATGACGGAGTGAGCTCCCGTCTCTAGTTCCAGCTCCTGCCAACCTAGAAGTTCGAAAGCAAGAAATTGCAAGTAGATAAATAGGTACCACTTTGGTGGGAAGGTAACAGCGTTCCGTGCACCTTAGTGTTTAGTCATGCCGGCCACATGACCACGGAAACGTCTTCGGACAGCGCTGGCTTTTCGGCTTTGAAACGGAGATGAGCACCGCAACCCTAGAGTCGGACTCGACTGGCTTTCAAGCAAGGGTGCCCGCGGGGACATTTCCCCGGTTGCCTGCACACTGTTTGTAGAAAGTAGGGGGCCAGATGGGGCTTTGGCCCAGCCAGGGGTCATTTCGTAGAAAAAGAGGCGCAGGAGCTCATTAGCATAACTCATTAGCATAACTCATTAGCTCCCCATGTTGTAAGCCGCCCTGAGCCTGCGTGCGGAGAGGGCGGGGTATAAATAAAATTAAATAAATAAATAAATAAATAACTTATTTGCATATGCCACACCCCCTGACATCACCGGAAGTGTGTCAGAAGGCAGCGCCCACTGCTCAGGCTCCACTGGACTGTTTTGGATTGCTAGCTATGGGGGGGGGGACGTGGAGATCTGATCTCACAGAGGAAGGTGAGCTTGTACCTGAAGGCGGGCCGGGGGGGGGCGCTCTGTGACTTACCTGGCTGCTTCTTGCTCCTTGTGGCCCGACTGAGGGCTGCTGGGAGCAGGGGGCGGGGCTTATTGCAGGTGCCCGCCCCCTGGGCTCCTTACTGCCGGAGCTCCGCTCCTGTGCGCTCCCGCAGGAAATGTCCCCTGGGCCCAGCCAGGCTTCTGACTGGTCATTGAAGATCTGATAGGCTGTGCAGATTTTTAAAAAATGTCGTTTTGGCAGCAGCTGCCACCACGGCACAAGGATCTTCACTGTGGGACTCAAGGCAGGCCTGTAGCCAGGGTTTTTTAAGTCGGGGGGGGCATGTACATTTCTTAGGGGGCATCCCTACTCCCATCCTGAGCCGCTCTGCCGTTTCCCCCACCCGGGCCTCAACCAAGCCACCTCCTCCTCGCAGCAGCCTCTCACTCCATCACAGCCAGCCCCTCATGCCAGACAGCACAGTGCAACCGGCCCGCCACAAGTGCTTTCTGGGGAAAATAGACTTTTGGGGGGAAATAGAGAGGTGCTGTCTGACTCTGCGTGGCCACCATACCTGGCCCTTCGCGCCAGACTGCTTTGCAGAAATACCTGGCTCCTTCCCCACACCTGCCGCCACTCTGGGCTGGATGGGAAGTTGTGGGGCCTTGCCAGTAAGTTAGGGGGGCCTAGCCCTGAGACACCCCACTGTAGCTATGGGCCTGGGCTGCATGGGAAGTTGTGGGGCCTTGCCAGTAAGTTAGGGAGGCCTAGCCCCGAGACGCCCCACTGTAGCTATGGGCCTGGGCTGGCCTCCCTCTCATGATCTGCCTCAGTTCACAGAATCAGAGAAATTCATCTGTTGGGCATATGAGAGAGGGCCTTTTCAGTGGTAGCCCCACCATTACGGAACAGCCTCCCCAGGGAGGTGCACCTGCAGGCCTGTAGCCAGGATTTTTTAATGTGGGGGGGGCTTTAAATAAGTCGGGGGCACCCCTTACACACCCCCAAGGGAGCACCACAAATAAAATTAAAAATTGGAAGTTGGGGGGCCTTGGCAGTTAATTGGGAGGGCCGGGCCCCAGGAGGCCCCACTGTAGCTACGGGCCTGTGCGCCTGGCCCCCTCGCTCTTGATCTTTAAGAGGCAGTTGGAGATGGTTTTTATTTAAAACTGTGTTTGGTTAAGTTTACTGCCAGCCCTGAGTCCTGCTTTGGAATGTTGTTGTTTATGTTTTGACTGCATTTTATTCTGTGTGTTTTATTTCCATTGTAAATTGCCTTCGTATGTATGAAGACCTAATCCAGCATCGGGTTGTCTTTAGCACCAGGTTCCCCCCAAACAGGAGAGAGAGCCCCTTTCTGGCTGCACTCAGCTCCGGTGGCACAGGGCCAGCATGTGTGGTGGTTAGAGCAGAGGTGTTGAACTCATTTGTTAAGAAGGCCGGATCTGACATAAGTGTCACTTTGTCAGGCCAGGCCATGTGTGCAGGAGATATGTCACCACTGACCATGACGCACACCCCTCCTCAGCTCCTGACTAACCACCTCTTGCTCGATATGCGTACCTTTAAAGCTCTTTATGGCCAGGGACCTACCTACCTGAGGGACCGCCTTTCCCCAGAGAGCACTATGGTCAGGGTCTCAAATTTGCTTGGCCCTCCCTGGCCTTAAGGACGCCAGGCTGGCATCGACCAAGGCCAGGGCCTTTTCAGTGGTGGCTCCAACCTGGTGGAATGAGCTCCCGGAGGAGATCAGGGCCCTGCGGGACCTTTTGCAGTTCCACAGGGCCTGTAAAACGGAGCTCTTCCGCCAGGCTTTTAGGTAAGGAGCCACATTTTACTATCTAAGGCCCTGTGCCAATATCATCATCCAGCCTGGCCATGCCGACAGGGAAATCTACCACTGACTGCATGTTTATTAAGTACTCTGCTACTATTGTACCCAGGGGTCATTTAGTAGAAAAAGAGGTTCAGGAGCTCATTAGCATCACTTATTAGCATAACTGATTTGCATATGCCACACCCCCTGACATCACCGGAAGTGTGTCAGAAGGCAACACCCACCGCTCAGGCTCCACTGCACTGTTTTGGATTGCTAGCTATTGGGGGAGAGGGGAACTCAGTTTAGAGGGAGCATTGCCTGTGAGGTCGGTGGGGCTGGGAGAGCTCTTTCGAGGACTGCCCTTGGGAGAACAGCTCCGAGAGAACTTGTGACTGACCCAAGGTCACACCAGCAGCTGCATGTGGAGGAGTGGGGAATCAAACCCGTCTCTCCCAGATTAGAATCTGTCACTCCTAACCACTACACTAAACTGGCCTCTCCTAACCACTGCCCCTAACCTGACCTACCTCACAGGGTTGTTGTAAGGATAAAACGGAGGGAAGCAGAGCCACATAAGCCGCTTTGGGTCCTCACTGGGGACAAAGGAGGGGTGTAAATGAATGAAGCAAAAAATAACCTAGAGCCGGCGGAGGCTGTGTTGCGCGCTGAGTCCTCACTGCCCTTCCCTCCCTTCCCTCCCGCCAGGCCTGCACATTGTCTTGAACTCCATCATGAAGGCCATGGTGCCCCTCTTGCACATCGCACTGCTGGTCCTCTTCGTCATCATCATCTACGCCATCATCGGCCTGGAGCTGTTCATCGGGCGCATGCACAAGACCTGCTTCATCATTGGCTCAGGTAGTGTTGCCAGAGGGACGGAGGGCGCCGACTCCCGGCCTTCCACGTCCCCAAGTAATAAACTCTTGGTAGTGGGACCGACCCACATAAGCACGTGTAGACATGCTGTTGGGAAGGGCAATGTGTTCAGAGATTGTATGTATCATACATGCAAACTTGCTTTATTTGCATACATTTACTAGGGCTGCCAAGTCCCCCCGGGGGGCGGAAATCCCCCCGCCCTAGAGGCCCGTTCCCCGACGCCGGGGAATCGGGCCCCGGGGGGGAACCCCGCCCCAGCGTGCACGTCACAGGGAAGTGACATTATGACGCCGGGCACGCTGGGGGCGGGGCCACGGCCATACAAGGGAAAACTCTATGGTTTTCCCTTG